AATTCATGGGAGGAGAAGAAAAAGCCAAAGACACGGGCGGCAAACTAGCGCAACTTTCCGCTCCTCCCGGACCTAAGCCGCTCCTGCGTAGGGAAACCGCCAGCCCAATCGACAGCTCGACCGCAGGGAAAGACAACCAGCCTAGGGCAGGGCCACCGAGTCTTAGGAAGGAACTCGGAGCCATCGAGATGAACGGACAATTGGTCGACAAGACCAAGGTGAAGGCGAACCCCGATGGCCGTAGTTCCCGGCGCATGTCGATAGTTGAGGAAACGCCCCAAGAAAGACCTCAACGACGACGCCCGGAAGATGCCTCCGCCGTCCGCTTGGTCGAAGCAGCCTCTCCCAGCCAAACCAACAAGGGACAAGACACCCAAAACGACGACGCAGGAGAAGACAGTGGCACCTAGCGCCGCGGCTACCAACAGGAGGGCCAAGGCCAAGGCCTACACGGATATTCTGCAGTTCCTCAGACTGCACTACATCCGGTCCCGTCCGGATATGGATGCCCGAGACTTGATCCATGGCAAGGATATCTCTGGTATGTACAGCCTGTTGCTACTTGCTAGCTACGATCAACTCCCATTCCTCTGCTGCGTGAACAATAAAGGCTGACCTAGTTCGTCTGGTAACCCTTCTTTGATTAGACAAAAACCTGTACTTTGATGCTTCCGGTCATAGCCGGGCCAACACCATCATTACTTTGATAGAACGCATGTCGGTAGGTGGCTTCTTGGACACGCTGGCCTACGTCTATATCCCCGGCCTAGATCAGGTCACCCCGGCCGTGAAACATGAAAAGCCGGAGAGGAAAACCTACGGTCGAGGGCGTTCCGGCCAAGTACAAGAAAACCCCAAGATGGGGCGCAACGACCTGGTCAGCGTGTTCGATAAGCTGTCGTCCTGCGGTGTGACGCGTATTCTCCGCCTGCAGGTGGACGACCTGGAGGAACCCGCCCACACGGATTCAGCCATTGAGATGGCTCTTCAGGGTACTGAGCCCCTCGCGTCGCAGGACCAGGAGCAGCCGCCGGCGAGGGGGAGAAATTCAGCCCACCCATCTATTCTTGTCGAGACATGGTAAGGGATTCCCCCAGGGGTCCAGCTTGGACTCATAAACAACCCCTGAAAGATACATGTCCCCATCCACCACAGGCGGGCATATGCTTACCTGTATCCTACTCTTACCAGGGACTGGCGCAAGCCCGATATCAGTCCCGACGTCATCGCTGCCGCCGCCCCGGACGTAGAGCATGTAAACCTGTACTGGAGCGGAAACCAGGCGGTCTTGAGGGGCTGGGGAAGTTCGGCCGGCATCCCGCGTCTAATGAAATTGAAAACCCTCAGGGTTTACGCAGCGCCGGTATGTCAGGCTGCCTTTTGCGATGGCTTCGGGTACTACTACCCAAAGGCCGTTTTGGTATTAACAATATTGACTCTGACTAGGGCCTCGAAAGCGTCGCAAAGATGAACAGGATGTTGGACATCTTCCAGAACGATATCATCACCAATACCAGCGGGAGAGTCAAGGAAGTAAAGATTATACCGAGGATCAATGGCTTGATCGCCAGCCAAAACGCCGAGGAACAAGGGGATCCAACCAGCAGTTCGACGGGGGGTCAGGTCACCGTGGCCCAGAGACAGCACGTATGGGTTTCGACAATGGACGAGTTCAGGAAATCAATGGTGTCCGTCCACAACACCCTCAGGGGTTTGCAGCTGAATATGGAGCCCTACAGAATCAAGGTAAGCCGCCAGCACCGCTTTCCCTACAAACCCACCTCTTTCACGGCGGTTATTTCATACAATCGCATCTAACAACCTCCATCAACAGGTCGCTCTAATCGACGACGGTCTCGAACTAAGCCAGCTCCTCACCTACAACGGCATCGTAGAGGCCATCGGCCAAAGCTACTACCCGCCGAGTGGGCGCACCGAAAACCCGTGGCATCGCTCGACCGAGGGGCACGGCACCATCATGGCCAACATGATCGCGCGGGTCAACCCCTGGGTCTCACTGCACGTCATGCGGGTACACAACAAGCGCCTTCAGAACGGCGAACGGACCGTGCTAGCGGACAGCGCCGCCAAAGCCATCTGGGGCGCGATCCGCCGCCGGGTCAACATCATCTCGATATCCTGGACGGTGAAGGGCAAAAAGGCGCCCGGGGTGGTGCGCGGCCCCCTCTACGACGACAACAGCGCCGCGGGGGCGGCAGGCACCGGGCCGGGGGGGGGAATGGACGCGGAGGCGGAGGCGATCGGAAAACTGGAAGCGGCCATCGACGAGGCGGTGCGGCAGAACATTTTGATCTTTTGCTCGGCGAGCGACCAGATCGAGGAGGATGCGAAGGACTCGCTGCCGTACCGGCAGGCGCCGGGCCATGTGTTCCGGATCGGGGCGGCGCTGCCGCATGGGCAGTCGGCGCCGGAGACGGAGGACAAGGGCAAGATCGACTACTTCTTCCCCGGAAGCCAGGTGGCCGAGGACTTTAACCCGCGCGGGTCCAAGACGCCGCGCTTTCATGACGGGTCGTCCGTGGCGACGGCGCTGGCGGCGGGTCTGGCGTCGCTAGTGATGCATTGTGCGGTGGTCATGCGGGAGTACAACAAGGAGAAGCCGGGGACGAAGGATCCCGCCGTGCAGGACTACTATACCAAGGCGGCGGCTGCTTTGCAGAGCCGGGACAACATGAAGCAGGCGTTTGATAACATTGGGATCGGTAAGCCTGAGGATAAGTACCTCGAGGTGTGGAAGGAGTTTGGTGCGGCTGCTGAGAAGATCGCCGCGCTGGGGACGAGGGGAAGCGACACAGCGGAGAAGAACCGCAAGAAGATGGAGCTGTTAGATGAGCTGGCGAGGACATTGTGTCATAAGACTAAGCTAGATGACGTTACCCATGGGCAATTTGGGGCTTAGGTAGTCCTTCTTCCCTGGCAGAAGGCACAGAAGTCTATAGAAGTCTTCTATCTAGCACGCTTACATCAGAAATCTCACACCTCATCACGATCGTAGTCCAGGACCGTGGCCATACAATACCAGTACCAGTACCTGATGAGAGCACGCCCATCCCTTTCTTACGGAAGCAGTCTCTTGGGAGTCCTGGGGTAGAACGCCGCAAGATGCACGCTGGGCAGGTTTAAATACCACGCCACGACGCGGTCCAGACCAATACCACCACCGCCATGCGCCGGCACACCAGCCTGCTTGAAGATGTCCACGTACTCCTTGATCCCCGGGCTGGCGGGGTCGATACCCTTGGTGCGGATGCGCGCCTCCAGCTCGACGGGGTCGTGGATACGTTGCCCACCAGAGCAGATCTCCTGCCCGCGCATGAACAGATCGTACGCGTTGGTAACCTTGCGGTTGGTTGGGTCCTCCTTGGCGTAGAACGGACGGGCACCCTCGGGGAACTTGTCGAGCACGTAGAAGTCGGTGTTGTACTTCTTGCGGATGATAGCACCCAGCGCCTTCTCCTGGGGTGTGCTCATGTCCTCGTCATCGGTGACGTTGCGGAACTCCTCGGGTCCCTCCTCGCGGAGGAGCTTCTGACCTTCGGCGAACGTCAGGCGGACCTCTTTGCCGGGTTCGGGGAGTAGGAACTCCTCAGAGGGGTACACAGAGCGGACGAGGGCGATTTCCTCAGGGCAGCGCTCCTGGATGTTGCGGAAGATGTGGAACAGAACACCCTCAAGCACATGCTATACGTATTTTAGCGGGCATACTGATGGGGCTGTTGAAAAGCTATGACATACCACAACTTCCCGGTAATCGTCCTTAATCTCCATCTCCATATCGAGACCGGTGAACTCGGTCATGTGTCTCGGTGTGTTGGAGTTCTCGGCCCTGAACACGGGCCCAACACTGAACACGCGCTTCCGGCCGCCCGCAATCTCGATTTGCTTGTAGAACTGCGGTGATTGGGCTTGGACGGATCAGTGTTTATTCCAAACAAGAAAGAACCGGCCACATACCGAGGAATGCTTCCTTCTCAAAATAGGGCATGCGGAACACGTTGGCGCCGCCCTCGGACGCCGCAGCGATGAGGCATGGGGGCTCAAACTCCTTGAAACCGTGCGACCTCAAGTATGAGCGGTACAGCTCTTTCATCTCGCCGCGGATATCGGCAATGGCCTGCTGTACAGCCGACCGCTTGTGCATCACGATGTTGTCCAGGTGGGTAAGCATGCTGGCAGCAGGCGTGCCGGTGGCCTCTCCAGCAGAGGCAATAGTAAGCTTCTCAACCTCCTGTTCGACGGGCACCTCCTCGTCGCTAAAGTTGGCCACTGGTCGGTTCGCCGCAGCGAGAGTCATGCCCAGAACGGTGGGGGCAGCGGCGTGAACGAAGCACTTCGTGATGTGCAGCTCGTAGTTGGAGACACGGCAGCTCTTGACGGGTTCGAGGGGCTTCTGGACCTTGGCCTCGACAACGACGAAGCTTTCCGGGTTGATGGCGCCAACCCACTTGACCATTTGACGGCTGACGGGGGTGCCTTCGGGATTGGCAGCCACAACGCCCTGGATTGACCAGTTGCCCTCCTCGCGCAGCTCAACAAAGGCCATCTTGGCGCCTTGCATGCGGGCATTTTGGATCCATGCGCGTAGCTTGATCGACTTTCCGACGTGCTCATCGCCCAGTTTCTTTAGGTTTACCTCGACCAAATCGGCGGATAGCTTCGTCTCGTGTGTTTCCTGGCCGTAGTTGTCTTTGGCGAGGTCCTCGGTTTGTGCGGCGGAGCCAGACGCGGCAGCGGTGGCAGCCCGCTCGGCGGCGCGGCGAGCCTTCTCGGCCTCCTTCTTAGCCTTGGCCTCTGCCTTCTTGGCGGCCTTCTTTGAAACTCCGCCGTCCTCACCACCCTCGGCAGCAGGAGCCGCGGCAGGAGTCTCGGCTGGAGGAGGAGCTGGGCTTACCGAAGGCTCGGCCATTTTCGGGGTTATTATGGGTTGGAGGTATTTGGTTGTTGTTTGGATGTGGAATTGGCTTGATTGAATTGTAAGGAAAGCGGATATACTCCTTGCGCCTCGAGTCGTGTGAGTCGAAATTTACGAGTCACTGAAGATCCCGGCCTGACACACTTCGGAGTTGAGGGGCACCCATCTTTTTGGCGGGGCATGGAGGGGCAGCCGTAGTTTATCTCGCTTATCAGCAAGCTAGACACTTATCGGGGGTATGAATCAACCATGAACCATTGTGTGAATCGTTGTAAGCAATAATGTGACCAATACAACCAAAGGTTCCCAAATCCAGATGTATCCTTGAACCCCAATGCACGAAACAGCGCGACCCGTTGATGCAACGTTCAAAGTTCAACGATGGGGCCGAAGCGAAATCACAATGCCGTGACGGCCGGTGATGATAATGAGTTGTCGTATCCGTCATCAAACAAGCGACGCCGAGAACAGCAACCCTCCAAACCAAAGCAGGTCGAGGGTAAACCCGATCCCACCTACGGCCAGCGAACTGCCTTCCCGGGTCTCGATGACGATGGATCCGCCCAGTTTTCAGATGACGATCTCGAATTCGAACAGAATGCTGAGGCACTCGCCTACCTAAGAGCAGTCCGGTAAGCCTTTTATTCTTTTGTGATTATACCGTCATCATCATCCAGCACCTGCTAAATCAAATCACAATCCCCACCCCAGCCGGACGTGAATCGTGAACACCGCAAACGAACAAAAGAACTTGGGAAAACTAATGGTAAGTATCTCACAGGAAAGAAGCAAGCGGCGTTCCAAACGTTTTAGTGGCCCCCAAAGCTGGCCCCGAGCTCCCTACCCATTTACAGGGCTCCGACGCCATCGACCGCAGCATCTACGCCGACGGCGTCGGCGACTCACGAGGCTACTACCACGATGGCGCGTATACCGCAGCGCCCGACCCAGATCCGTCCACGACATCCCCCGACGGAGCCGAAGAAGGGGAAATCCTCCCCGTCGCCGAAGCCGATCGTGTCGCAGCGCAGAACGCCGCCCTCCGCAAAGCCTATTTCGCTTCGCTCACCGCGCGCTTCCTGCGCCTCCGCGCCCTCCTCCACCAAACCCCGTCCGCATCGGCCATTGCCAGCCCTGCCGCGGAGACCACGGCACCGAGGTCGGCTCGTTCGGCGCCAACTCGTGGACCTTCCGCGTGTGGACCAAGCGCATCCGGCACACCGACCCGCTGCCCGCGCAGATCGCTGCGCTGAAGCGCCAGAGCGTGCTGAAGCTGCTGCGCGTCATTCTCGGCGGCAAGTTCATCCGCCGCGGCTACGAGCTCCGTCCGCGCACCAGCCGCTGGATCTGGGCCCTGCTCGCGCGCCTGCCGGACCAGGGCGAGATGGACTACGTTGAGGTGGGCTGGGTGCGGGAGCTGGGCAAGAGGGCGGTGCTGATGATGGTGAGTATCGCGCATATGGATGCGCTGAGAGAGGAGGTGGAGGGGGATTTGGAGGGGAATATCGATGGGGATGACGAAGAGGAGTTTGTCGAGGAAATGGTGTTGGACGAGGATGGGGAGGAGCACGCCATTTCTACGTCGACGAAGCCGCAACCCCCCGCCGCTGTTACCACTGATGCCGATAACGGCGAAGGCCAAGACGGGGAGATGGATATGGACATTGATGAGGGCGAGGTCACTGACGACGACGCGCCCTCGACTGCCGGTAACAAGGACATTGCCGCTGACATTGCGGCCGCCAAGGCCCGACTGCTGGCGCGGCTCGAGGAGAACACGAGCACACAGCAAGAAAAGGTCCTAGTCGCAGCCCATGCCGACACCCCTGAGGACCGACCGAATGGCAGCAGCGACGAGGAAACGGCCACCATGGACGAGGCCGAAGCCCGGGCCAATATGCGGGCGACCCTGAACATGGTCCTGACCGTGGCCGGTGAGTTCTACGGACAGAGGGACCTGCTCGAGTTTCGGGACCCTTTTCCCGCGCTGTAAGTTTGGCACCGGCATGCCATCTACCTTACTCGGGTTTTCACTTTGATACTATGGCTTCAAGCCACAGCACCACTTGACGAGGTAACTGTTATTTAATGTTCATTTCATTTCATTTGCTCGCGCTACGCGTCGTAGGTATGCTCGAACAATAAGCAGAATGCAACCCTCTCGGTGTGTCCACTGTGCTCCTCGTAACAAACGCCGTCGCCTTCAGAAAAACATGCAAGTACAAGTAATAAGCCAGAACCCGCCTCCGATAATCCTGGTATAATGCAGACCCGTCTCTTCCTGCTCGACGCTCAGCAGAGATATAAAAGGGGAACAAGAAAACGCCATGAACCTTGCAATGCCATTACCCACCCACTACCACCATCCACATCGGCAGACCATCCCAGCCCAGCCACATACCTCCCCTCCTCTTCCGTCACTCAATATCCATCCTTCCATCCGCCGCCGTCAAACCATAATCCAAAAAGCTCGCCTCCTCAAAATCATTCCCATCCTCCCGCCGCACCACAACCATGACATTCTCCTCCTGCCCACCAACACCACCAACAGAAGAACCCTTCCCACCACCCCCCGACCCCAACCCCAACCCCACCTGCTGCGCCCGCGCCCGCGACCGCGGCACGGCCAGCACGCGCGCGCTCTCCCACAGCCCCGGCGGCGGCGCCGCGCTGCGCGGCGAGATCTCTTCCTCCAGCTCCAGCAGCCACGCCTCGGGGCTGTCGCTGCTCAGGCGCACGGGGCCGCGGTAGGGGAGCGTAGTGGTGCTGCTGTTGTTTGGGGTGGTGGTGGTGGCGGCGTCGTCTTCGTCGGAGGTGAAGATGCGCTTGCGGGTTGGGGTGGGGGTGGTGATGATGGTGGTGGTGGTGGTGGTTGGGAAAGAGGATGGGAAGGAGGAGGGGGTGCTGGAGATGGTGTCTTGGCTGCTGGCTAGGCCGGGCATGGCGTCCATGTCGTCCATGTCGTTCATGGCTGAGCTGCCGTTGTTGTGGGAGGGCTGGAAGGCCAACCCGCCGACTCGGTTGATGCCGCAGAAGGGCTCCAGTTCGCGCAGGTAAGAAGTGGGTGCTGTGGTGGGGTTGGTTGTGGTTTTGATCGCGTAGGTGTCCTCGGTGGGGGTGGGCTTGCGGACGGCGTTGTCTTCGGCCCAGAGCGTGAAGCCGCTGTAGGCGCTGCCGGTCTTGTAGCCTTCTGGGATGGCCTTACGGACTCGCATGCCGACATTCAAGAGGTCGGTTTGAACTTGCCCTGGGATATGAGGGCCATTGAGAGGCGGTTCGCTCGTCGTTTTCGAGGCGGCATTGGCCGACGTGGTGGTGTTTGTAGTCTTGTTGAAGAACGAGGTGATGGAGCGTTGCGCAGGATCGCTAGCTGCGCCGGCGAATTGCCGCTTCGTGCGAGGACCCGCCATTTTTTGTTGTGAAGTGATCGGTCAATCCAAGTGGGTTGGGTATGTTATGTCGTCGAGGGCCCCAGTGATTGTTGTCAGGGGAAACGAGGGGTTGAACGAACGGGGGTAGTGTTGATCGTGGATCGAGGGGAAAGAACAAAGAGAAGGCTGGGGGGATGCAGCCGAAACCAAATAGCCCAAAAAGGAGCTGACCGATTCGGAAATCCGGTGTGGGGCCCCTGCGAAATCAAGGCGCGACAAGCGTGTTTTGACGCGTTAATTGGATCAGCTTGCACGGGATTGGTCGAATCCTCGGGGCTGGGAATCGGGGCTGGGAATCGGGGCTGGGATGTGCAGCCAGCCTCGGCGTGCTGAAGGTCATGGCCAACTGCCGGGAGAGTATGCGCAAAGCTCTTTCATGGAACTGCGGGCTCGACCTTGTTGTCTCTCACCCGACAACATGCCCCTTGCAGGAAAATCTTTCTGCAATTCGCTTGCTCTGCTCTCAGTTGGCAACGCTTTTTTTGGTGAAACGATTTTCCCCTTCATTAGCGTGGCTGAGGGTCCTCGGTCCTCGGTCCTGCGGCATAGCTACTGTGTCAGTTCATTCAGAACGCATCAGCGGCCTGGGACGTGGCCGACGTTGTATGAAACACTTTGTTTGGCGCAGCACGCTGGGAATTGGTTGGGAGGCTCGGGTCGAGATATCCACAAGTGTCATCCGGGGTTATGGCCTGGAGTTGGCCTCGCCCTTGTGAAACAAATCCAAAAATACCTCTTCCCCCAACCGACACTCCCCATATTACCTGGAACTAGCTCGCGTTTAAGTTGTCGCAACATCACCCCCAATTCGATTTCTACGGCAGATGTCGCAAGTTTGTTGGCTTGCGCTGGATGGCACCACTGAGCCGCTCGGAAACATGGAGACACGATTTCAACTGTGCCGCAACCTAGTCACTCACATCGATCCAACAACATTGGCGTGGTCATGGAATCTCGTCAATTTGTCGTCGTGAAGCAACAATGATGCCCCCTTTTTTCGGTCACCGCACCGAGGCCCTCGGCGGTCCTCAGCGCTCCACGTCCTCGCGTTTAGCAGCCCCTACCACCCGCCCGTGGCAAGGAAATCTAGACGCTTGTGAGAATGCCTCTGCCAGCGATCCTCCCATGCAGTATCACCTGCCTGTACAGCAAAAGACAAGACGAACGATCGGAAAAACGCAGATCGAGAGAAAGTCGGAGAAGTCGATGATGCTAGATATCCGGACCCCAAACGCCCTCCCAGATTGTTGTGCGGGGTGATTTTTGGCGAATCCATCTTCTATCCGCAAATGAGATTGATTTGACGATCGAGAGTAATGTGTCTAGACGCCCAACTCGAGCCCAGCCTTTCAGACACCAACAAGACCCCATTACCATGCCATGATGCCCAAGGAAAGAAAACAGTCGCGAGCGAACCGCTTACTTCCTCCGGAACGAGCAGCCCTCAGTAAGTCTAGCCTTGCCACCGGTCGGCTGGCAGAGGACGGTCTTTCAGCCTTGGAAGATGACGAATCACTGGGAGAGGGAGAAGACGGTGGTGATGATGAAGCACCCAGGGCACTTGACGTCCATGAAGAAGGAGCGGGGACCGGGCACAAGGGTCTGCATATTGTCAGCATTATCGACCTAGGGGCGGGTTTGTCGAAATCTCGGCATACCTTGAGCTTGTGCTTGCGGGCCTCAGCAGCCGGGCTGGGGTTGAGGAGATCAACGGCGAGAACCTTTTCGAGAAATCATACGTCAGCATAACGCCCTCTTAATGATGGGTTCCTCCTCCTGCCCGTCCGAAATCCGTGCTCTCCGCAAGTGTCTCCGTATCACGCCGCAATTTTGGGCCGCGGCCAAACTCCGATGTTCGGCTTCAAAATTGAGATCCTCCCGGCGGCGTGATGTGGTGTTGACGCAGGGCTCGTGACTCGCGAGAGGGACGTCGAACAGGCAGGATGGCGAAGAAAAAATCGGGCAGAGTTTCGGCTTCTTACCATCTTGACTGATTACTTCCGAAATGTCGAAAGGACGAGCAGTAGGTTGATTGATGAAATCTGGATGGGGTTGGCGGCAGACTCTGGCTCGTTGATGGTTGCAAAGGGGATTTTCTGGCGACCCAGCAGGAACGAAACTTCGAGGCCAAATTTGGGTCTGTGAGGAGCAAAAGGCAAATTTGGCTAGCCTCGGAGCAAGTCTGTTAGGGCTTGCTCGCGTGACCAATAAGAGATGGGTTAACCCCTGTTGAGGCAAGGCAAAGTGGGGCTACCTTTTGGGCAATTGCGGAACTCAAGGATGGTGGGGTTGAAGCATTCAAGGTGGGGGCAATTGGGGTACGTCTTCACTTCGAGGGACGCGAATGCATCGACGACAACCATTAGGCAGCAATATCTCATAACATCGAGCTTGTCTGCCGTTATCGACCTGACGTTAACTGTTTCTGAGAGTCACCAGTGTATTACGAACTGCAACTTCCACCGCGACCACCATAGCACAGCCCGAGAAGGCTTCCAAAAATGGCGGCACCAACAGAGCAGCGAATCGCAGTTCCCATAGACGACCCCAATGCCGATACAGAATGGTCAGACCGGCCTGGCCGCACGATTATTCCCAGTGCCATATTAACAGCGTGACTCACAGGAACGACATCCTCCGCAAGCACGGCGTCATCCCCGAGAAGCCGCCCTCCCCGACCCCGCTCATTGAAGAAGCCATCCTGGAAGCGCGGCGAATAGCGCACGAGAACCGGCTCGAAGGCAAAGACCTCTCGGACCTCTCGGACCTCGAAGACGAAGAAGACGAGGCCTTCCTCGAGACCTACCGGCAGAAGCGCATGCAGGAGCTCGCCGCGCTGCAAAAGACATCTGTGCACGGCTCCGTCTACCCGCTCTCCAAGCCCGACTACGAGCGCGAGGTGACGGAGGCCTCGCAGGCCGGGCCCGTACTGGTCAACCTGGCCTCGCCCCAGGGCAGCAACGTCGAGTCGCGCGTGCTGTCGGAGCTCTGGCGCCAGGCGGCGCGCGAGTACGGCGACATCAAGTTCTGCGAGATGCGCGCCGACAAGGCCATCGAGGGCTACCCGGAACGCAACTGCCCCACAATTCTAGTCTATAGCAAGGGGGAAATCGTCAAGCAGGTGGTCACGCTGGCCACGGTAGGTGGGGTCCGGATGAGCATGCTGGACTTGGATAACATCTTGGTTGAGGTGGGGGCGTTGAAGGACGACGATATCCGTGTGTTGAAGCGCAGGAGGGCGGCGGAGGATGCCGAAGAGGAGAGGGCTGCGGGTGGCAGCAGGGGTATCAAGAGTAGCCGAGATGGGATGAAACCCAGCGATGACGATGATGATTGGGATTGAAGACGATCAATCGGCGGGGTGACTCATTCGGTATGAGTGACTCGTGCGAGTTCAAGGACATCGCCAGCCAGTAAGAATCCAGCCCAGGAAGAAAGGCTCCGGGCCGTCAAGTTGAGTGCGGCCCGAGGATGAGAGCGGTCGGCCGAGCTCTGCCCCTTCCGTGGTGATGAACCAACCCGTGGGGAGAAGGCGATATGACTTCGGGAGTTCAGACCTCATCTCCCATTTATCTCCCGCCACAACATCCGTCCTACCTGGACTATAAAACGAGTTAAATAATGCCGGAGACCATGGGGATTGAAATAAGTACGAACTCGATTCATAATCAGGGATCCATTTCAAGGCTTTAGTTACCTAGGTCATCTACAATAAGCACACTAGCAAGTCGACGATACGCATAAGACAATCAAGCAATCACAAGCCCTACCAAATGGCCGAAGCAGGAAAGCAACTCAGCGTCTAACCCCCGATTTGGCATCAGTCAGAAACCGTGGAAGGTATTAATTAGTGTCGCCAATAACCGCAGCGCAAGCAATTCCGCTGAGAAATCCCCCGATGTCCTTTCCGGCCGTGCTCTCCCTTCTCGCTATACCCGAAACGCCACTTGGTATCCCTCCGCCCGTATGCCTTCGAAACGCCAGAGAAAGAGCCATGGGACTAGAAAGCTGATATGACCAACAAGTGTCTCCCACCATGCCAGCCTCGAGAAAGAGACATGCAATGCAATTGATAAAAGAAAAAGAAACAGAAGCAAGCAAGGAAACCTTCCTCAGAACGGGCCAACCCGCTCGTTGCTACACGCGTAGAGACTGACATGGTTGTCGCCACGGGCAGCACAACCCAGGAGCATTCGGTGTGGGTGGAACGCGGTGGAGGTGAGCGGAGCGGCCTTGTGGCCCAGGAAGCCAGAGTAAGGCTCAACGCGGGTGATTTCGTGTCCATCAAAGTCAAAGATCTTGACCAGATGCGCCGAGGTGCCACTGTTCAACAACCAGTTAGTTTCTAGCTCGCAGAGGAAAAGCCCTCGGGGTAAAAGTAACACTTACACAGCAAACACGGGCAAATGCTCGTGGGTGCTCGCAGTCCGTAACACATCCTTGGTCGTCTGAAACATATTGAGCGGCTGCTCCATGCGGATATCCCATAGGTGAACCTTGCCGTTGCGACTAGCAGACAACAGCTCGCGCTGGCCGCCGCGCTGCATGTGCACGGAGCGCACCCACTGCCTGCTCTCGTCCTTCCACTTGCGGACCATGGTCTCCTGCGGCTTCATGCGCGCGTCAAAGACGCGGATGGCGCCGTCGCCAAAACCGGCGACAAAGATGTTGCCCGTCATCTGGTCGGAGGCCAACGCCGTTACGCATGAACCGGAGCGCGCTGGGATCTCGTGCGTGCACATCTCATGGCCCGCGTTCCATATCCGGATGACCCGCTCATCGCCGGCCACCAGCACTTGACCGTTGACCTGTTGCCAGTCGAAGACCATCCCGGAGTTGACGTTGGAAGGGACCATGTGGGTAAGCGCGCGCCACGAGGACGCAAGTTCGACGTCTGCGTCGCTGTCATAGTTGTGGTAAATGCGAATCACGCCATCCGAAGAGCCAGTCATAAGGAGGGCCTGGTCATCCTCATTGATGAACCGCATGTCCGAGATCTTGGACCCTTCGGGATTTCCATTGGAGAAGCGGCTCTTGCGCGAATTGGTCTTCCAGTCCCAGATCGTGACTGTGTTGCCGTCGTCCGCGACGGCGATGTGGTTCTCAAACTGATGGAAAGTCATCTTGGACGGCTGTGAGCCGGTGAGAATGACACCCGCTTGGCCGTTCCACTTATGCGTCCTGGCGTGAGTCTTTTGTGGCTGCGTCTCTCTAAGAACGGCCTCGTTTCGTGCTCTACGCCATAACCGCTCGTTATACTCGTTGCTTCCGGGCTCCTCGGCTTCGGGCGCCTTCATTTGAGGCTCGCGGAAGTATTCTGTTGACCAGTCCAAGAAGGTGCTGGCCAAAGGGAGGGTAGGGGCCTCTCTGAGCTTGCGCTCAGTGTAACCGGCACAGAGCGGTTCATTGGCAATATGATAGTTTGAAGGGGGCGCAACCTGGTCGTGCTGCTCAGGGGGGGCGTTTTCGTGGCTTGGCCCCTTACGACTTCGTTGGGAGAACGTCCTCTGCAAGGCAGGTGTTGCTGGAGGAGTCGGAGCATTAGCGGCGGCATCGAGCGTCCCCATGAGCGGCCCAAACAAGTAGCTCGCTGTCCGCTTAAGAAGGCCGGGAGATGGCATCGGCTGAGCTGCCGCAGTGCGGGTGCCGGCTACACTGATTCTCTGGCTCATGTCACCTCTCGACACTTTTCTAGCGCGCCGGAGGATCTCGTCCATGAGAGTTTGTGCTTGGGCACCCACAGGAGAGTGCAGCAGCGCGTGGTGAACGTAATCCAGGATATTAGTGGCATCTCTCTGGACTTCGGGGTGAGGATCAACGCTCAAGATGTTGATGTGCTTCCAGCACGCTGCAAAAACCGAATCGTGGGCCACACCAAACGCAGTAGGTGTAATGGTCCCGTCTCTCTCACGGTTCTCGCGTCGCGCAAAATGCAGGCCCATCTTATGATCGAGACCATCTTCTGGCGGAGCGAACAACTGGTACTCCTTCTCCTCGAGAAGCTGTTCGTAGGCGGCGACCAAGAATTTGCTCTCGTAACGAAGAACAAAGTGGGAGAAGAAGACGAGCAGCTCTTTCCGGACGATAGGACTGCCGTCGGTCGCCAGCTCCAGCATGGCCCAGGCGATGCCCTCCTCGATCCTTGCCACTTCATCGGTGATATCGGGGATGCCGAGGAAGGTGGTCATGGCGTGCGCCATGGCAGCGCGAACCTCGGGACAGTGGTCCTTGATTAGGTACGACAGTTTTAAATGGGCATTTTCTCGAATGCCCCTCCATTTCGCATCTGGGAGATCCCTCCACAACTGGCTGATGCAGAGGCACGACCATTGACGCAGGAGAGGATTCTCGGGGTGCTCGATATGATGTAGGCAGTATGTCATAATATCAGTCGAGTTGCAAACGATCTGGCCGGGCTTAAAGCCCTTGCACAACATGGCCAAAATGAACGCGCACATGGCCTTGTGCTCGTCCAGAACCACGACACCGACGACAGGAAATGTCTCTTGCGGCTTCATTATAGCTGCAAAGTAAGTGTAGCCATTGTCCTTGATCAGGTCTTGTTGGCATGAGATGTCCACAGCCAAAACACGAGTCCAGATGAAGACCATGACAGGCTTGAGTTCTTGGGCAGCCGACTGCAGCAACTTGAGCACATACGGGAAGATGCCGATACTCAGGGCCAGCTGCACGGCCCAGGGTCCAAGGTCAAGGAATCTCCCCAGAAGGATCAGGGCTCGGAGCCGGTGTTGTTGGCTCAGGAGAACTTGGAGTACTACGGGTAGCTGCTCCGGAGGCTTCTGCGAGACCGCATCACCCCTCGTCAGGTAGATCTCGAAGGCCGTGAGTTGCTCTGTAAAGAAGGTGGAGTTGACGTATTCGTACGGGACGCCATCGGCCTCTCGTCTTTCCAACATGGGCAGTTGTGCTAGAGCCATGTCAACAGCAAGGTCCCAACTCTCCCAGAGGGGGTGTCGCCGCGTATCGGGAAGCTCGGGATAAGATTGAGGGTTGCATCCGTAAACAGGCATAATCCGCTGCGCCAGAAGAAAGTTACGGAACAAGGCGGCCACTGTGGAAGCTGGATTAGCAAAACCCGAAACAAGTATGCTGAAACGACGAGGTGCTCACCCATCAGGTCCTGGCGGAAGAACTTGCGAAACAGAGGGCGGGGGGAGGGTTGTCCAGGCGATAGTATCCGTGATGGCGGTGAAGATCCAGTTCAACTCCCCCAAGGGTGTCCGCCGTTCTTGGAGTCTCCCAGGAAGCTTCCGTGCTCTCTCGGGCGAAAGGTTAGTGTCAAGTGGGTTCTGTAAAACAAAGAACCAGAGAGCCATCTCGATCGGTGTCGTTAGGCAGCAAGTAAAGAGATCAGCGGGAAGAAGGGGGTTGGTTGGGAGGTTCTCCTTGGAGTCGCAAGCCGCCAAATGGATGTAGGGGCGGTAGTTGGTCTTTTCGTGGTTTAGGTCTTTGAGCGCATGTTCCTCATCCTCTTCCTCGTGCTTGTCGACGAATTTGTGATAATTCTTGAGGATGTTCGTTGCCTCGGAGCAGTCCCATACAAAAATTGTGGGCGCCTGAAGCCATTGCTGAAGGTCATACAACGATACTGGAATGTACTGCGTGTAATTCTTGTTGAAAACCCAGATCTCGCCAGAAGCAGTGGGTTTGGGTACCCCGTGGCCGTTGTAGTGGAATAAGACCCGTTCATCTTTCGCATTTCGGCGCAGGGAGATACAGAATTTCTTGGTCTCTTCAATAGACGGATCAAGATACTGCTTATAACGGGTTCGGAGGGCCAGTGTTTCGTATTGCGCTTGTAGCGATTTGCCGATGTTCTCGAGGGCCTTGCTCACTGGTGGGACAGTCGGATCTTGCCAGGCCTCGAGTTTGGCCCCCGGTGCAGTCCGCAGCTGATCCGGTGGCTCCACGCCGATATTCAAACACACAGCGATGGCGGCTGACACGGTCTTGAGTCGGTCACGCATCCGCCAGTCCTGGAGTTCAAAGGCCGGTGTCTTGGGCTTGCCCGTCGTTTCATGGCGCTTGTCGGTAAAATACATGTACCAATTCTGTGTGTAAAGCGTCAGTTTCGGCTTTCCCAAGCAGCTTTCACAGTCCACTATCCACGCCGACAATCCTTTGAGATCATGCGAAGCACAGGGCATACGCAGGCCTGGATATACGGTAGCGGCGGATCAAGAGTGCGCTAGCCTCCCCACTGCGCACCGATCACCATTGCAACGAACGTGCCACTTACATTCGCGAGGTGCGCAATGACATCCTCGGATAGGTAATGATCCTCAAAACCATGCCTCGCGCCCAGATCGTGGTATTCCTCCTCAACATCGTCGTCTGCTTCTTCGTATCGCGGGTGGTGCTCGCTCTTGGATCGAAGCAGAGGGGGTTTGGCCGGTCTTGTCACCGCGGAACGGCTGCTCTCTTCGACATGTCCGCCATCCACGCGGCTACTCGACGCGACCGGTTGATTGTCTCCAGGCGCGCTCGATGGTCGTCTCGAAGAGGAGGGAATCGGCGATGTGTTTCGCCTTCCGTTGGCAAGCGGATGCCCTGGGCGCACGGGCGCATTGCCAGGTGAAACGGCGCGCGCGATGCCGTTTGGTTGCGGCGCCATAGCCGACGCGGAGGCTTCGGCGTACTGAGCTTGTAGGTGCGACATGGCATGAGTAGTCTGTCGAGAGAAAGACCCGGGGTGGCGGGCAGGAGAGGACGCAGCAGAAACGGCAAGCGTGGCGGTTCGTGAGAATTGAGCTGAGTTCTGCCCTCGGCCATGCTGGGCAGGCCGCGGCACGTCGAGAGAAATGGCCGTCATGGTGAATTATTGGCGGCGGACAAACGTCATGATCTAGGAAAGATGGAATGGTCGGGACTCAGAGGTGGGGTCCGAGTATCGTCTGTTGTTGCGGCGGGCAAGTTGTGTCGGATGTGGGCTGTGGGTTGTTCTTGAGGTGGGTTGTTCTTGAGTGAACCGAACCGAGATTGAAATGCCCAGGTCCCCCTACCCAAGTACCTAAAACGTAGCGGCAGCGACCAAGTGATTATTAACACACAGGCATCAAAAATAACTTGAAAAGCGACACCCGTGGCTATCCGCTTGCGTATCCCGAGAATCGGGTCGCAGGTTGCCGACACAAGGGAGGATGGTTTCGATCGAGTTCGCGAGTTGCGAGTCGCAGGTCGTGTGGAAGCGGCGGCTGGGACGGGGCTGTTCGGGTTGACGTCGTCTTAGCGGGTCGAGACCCCAGCAGCCATGCGCCAGCTTGGCTCGCTGAATAACCGTGTCGTTATTCGTCAGGGAACGTGAGGAAGAGTGGAGCAAGACCCCACAAAAGCCAATAGGCGGAGAACGTGGCAGGAGGCTGACTCCTGAGGCATTTCAGCCTCACATATGGCAGGCGCACCCGGCTTGAAGTGAAGGGTTTGACACGTGACATTACCTTGGAGGCAAATCTGAAGAATTACAGGCCAAAAGTTGGGATGGGTACGGTTGCTAACACTCGGCCCACCGCTCCCTCCGGTGTTTCACAGGGCTCCGTCCCCGGATCAGGGCCGCCTCCGTGACGACTCCAAATTGCGCCGGCGAAGGAGGCCGGAAGGCATCGTCCATTCTACTTCATTCGCACCCATCAATTCCTAAACGCGTCCCACGTATTCGCGATGGAGATACATTATTCGCGCCGGGATCCCATCCCTTATTGGCGTTTCCCTGTAGAATGTTCATGTAGGCCGCTCCGGAGTCGGGGTCGTTAAACAATCCACAGCAACCCAACACGAACAGTCATCATCACGAGTGGCCCAGAGTGGCCCTTTGGCAGCGGCAAGTCGACGGTCGGTCAGTTGTAGCAGCGTGGCTAGATGCACCCTTCATCGAAGGCGACCGGGGATGTTGCTGCCCGCGTCTTGTTTGTGGATCTCCGGGGGGGGTGAGGATTCGCCTGTGCTGTGGTCATTACATGGCACCCGGGATGGACCCCGGCCTTGTGGCCGCTCACAAGCACGCCGACGATGATGAGGTTGATAGTCTGCCGGTAAAAACTGGGGTAGAGGGTGTCAGTCAAGTGGCCCATCGTGTGCGGTTGCTCCTGGCTGCGTGCCAGGCGCCTGCTCATGGCCTGGGGTGTTCGTGGCGTAGACGTGTGGATATTAGAGCTGCTATTTTTTTTGCATGTTATTGATGATACCGTTGGTAAATCGAACGTACCTTACCTAGTTCAACATGTCTACGTTGTCAGCGTCTACCGCCACGATACTTATGACGATATAATCGATACGAGCAATGGTTTGTTGGTGGTTATCACGAGAGTAAATCAGTTTCCCTCCTGACATAGATCCTGCACTTCACTATGGTATCCGTCACGGCAAACCAAACGCCTGCCATGTGGGCAACTGTCAGGTTGTAAGATCAGGTACTAGATAGTTTAGTTGTAGTGTTCTGTTTAGTAGATTCTCCCACTCAATGGTAAATCACGGTATACAAAAGAACAGTGAAAATACAAAACCCCATACGCCCTCATGCCCGAGAATTCAATATCCAAAAACCCCAAAGACCGTACCGAGGTATCTATTTAGATTTGTCTGGCCATTGATCAATCATATCTTCGCCCCCGTCCATTAGCACATCAGCATTCATCCGAACGCTCCACCGAATTATATCCGTCATGGACTTATCCTGCCATCCCTTGTGATTCCCGATGTCACTCATCGCGCCCCTCGGGCCGGCGGGGCGATGGTGAGCGAAAAGGGTCGGCTGAGTGGTCAAGCACTGGCGTCCGGCCTTGCGGCCCTTGGACCCCTCGCAGAAGAACCGCAAGAGGATATCGTAAGCGTCGGTGACTTCCTTGAGCCCAACCTCATACAGCAGCTTCTGGGCCCCGCGTTGGCTGAGCGCGTACGCTAGCGTGCACACGCCTTCCTGCACATGGTGGTAGGCGCGCGTATGCTCTGGGTACTTTTCGACGAGGGTGAAGGGTATGTTGAAGGTCCAAAGATTCTTCTTCGGCGCAACAGTTTCGTCGTCGGGTCGGATCACTCGGCCCCGCGGGATGTTTTTGCCGTTTTTGAAGGGGAAGTGCATCCCACAGTGACCGACCCAGAGGAGGTCCCAGTCGTCTCCGTAGGGGGAGACGGTTGCAGGCGTAGTAGCAGGGAGGTGGTGGAAAACCAGCTCGGGTGGTGTCTCGGGTGAGTCCTCCGATGGCTTCGGATATGTCGGGTCAGCATATGCGCCAGTGCGGCCACGCAAGGGTTGCGTGAGTGTCTGCGACGCCAGCGCGAAGTCGTAGAGCTGGTCTTTTATCCTCACGTCCCAGTCAACATCGTCCTCCATAATGAGAGCCGAGGAAAGATTCCGGTGCACAATTCTACGGAAAGAATTAGTTGCCGATTTTACCTTGAACAACAGGTTGAACGAGTATGAATGGGAAATGGAAAATCCTACTTACTCTCGAACAGCATTCATGTGTGCGCGCCATGAGCCTATGGACGCGTCACGAAGACGCTCTTTGCCTTTGGCCATTGGGACGGCCTTGTCAGGGACGTCTTTGCCCATGACTCCGTCGATGAACTCTAGTTGCATATCGCTAAGAGCAGCTTGTAGTGTTATGCCATCGCGACGGTCCGACCGGGACGGTAGACCGACGACGAATATCTTTTCGAACTATGAAGACGGTTATGATCTCGGGTCATCCGGCCATCATACGAGTGCCGCGACAATGGAAATTCAAACTCACACCAAGCGTGGTATTGTAGATGTCGCGTAACGGACCGCTTGCTGAGCCCCGCCGGTGGCTCCCACACGCTGAAAGCCCCGAACTACTGAGAGAATGGAATCCCAAGAATAGAACAGTGATAATTAACGCGGTGGTGAGTGTGTAAGCACGCCGTTTAGCGAATAGGCGCAAGTCCATCGTGTCTTCGGAATTATAAGAAAAGATAAAAATGAAGAAGAGATGAAGGTGCTGTGTCAATTTCAAAATCAACTTCGTCCAGAATAGGGTGAGAGCCTAAGAGGTAGCCGCTGGGCCGGAATTCCTCCAAACGCCGGGCCCAGCCCAAGCGCGGTTGTTGGTGAGGAAGCTGCAGATCTGAGAGGGCGTTAAAAGACGGGTTGTGATTGGATTTCCGGCGCCAGGGTATCAAATCAAGACTGAGTATCCAATCTTCGCCAACAAACTCTTTACAGCCAGCACAATGCGATTTGGCGTTTTGAAGAGTGAACGTTGGGTTGGCACCATTTGCGAGGCCACACAACTATGGAGGAGTGTGCAGTATTAAAGACGATATGGAGCGTCGGGTGTGAGACGGCCCAGGTCCTGCATTTCCTTGTTTTCTTTTGTTTCGACTTCCCAGCTTCTTGTGACGCAGCGACGATCTGCAATTCCTTAACATGACTCCCATTGACGTCCGAGTCTGGGTAGTATTCGCCTTCATCATCCCAATTTTGTCTTGCCAGTGGTTTCAACCGACCGCAAAAAGGGAACTCTGGCATGTTGGAGACGTTCACAACATCCAGTACCACACGGATCTCACCGCATACACCATCACTCTATGGCAACAGGCGATCGCCGGCGGTTCCGCCACGCCGGGGCCAATCATCTTCCGTGAGTACCTGGACAGTTTCAAATCTTCAACTTCATTGACTTTCCGGCGCCGCATCTAACTCAAGAAACCCCTGTAAAGAAGCCAAGACCGGTCCCGCGAAAGCACTTGGCTGGACGGTACAACTGTATGACTTCGATCTGGAGTCTTCAAACATCTTTTTCTTTTGGCTGAAGGAAGGAGGCCCCGAAAATGCGACGGGGCCCGTCACAGGACGGACAATGTCGTCCAGCTACTTCAACATCACCGACGAGCCTTCTCCAACCACCACGTCATCGTCGTCGTCGTCTAGCAGCACGAATCCCTCCAGGTCGACCGACCTTGGAGCCGCACTGTCATCGACCTCTTCGACAGCCACTCAGACCGGACCAGACCAAGGCGAAGCCACCGCGTCGAGCAGAATACCTGGTGAGGGCATTGGGGGAACAGACGGTGTATCTGAAGGAGGAGGAGGAGGGGAAGGCGGAGGCCTCCCGGTCGCCGCCCAGGCGGGCATCGGGGTGGGCGTTTCCGTTGTAGGGGTCGTGGTGATCATCTGCGGCATATTGTGGTTCCGGTACCTGAAGAAACAACAACAAATTCTCCTCGACCTCCAACGGAGAGCCCACCCTGAGCCTCCGCCTCCCGATGCTGCTGGGACCGGGACGTGGAAGCCGCAGGTCCCCCCTCCTCCCCCCGTCCAGTATTACCCTGTGTACGAGATGGGTTACCATTCCAGGACGCCTCCTGTCGAGCTCGGCTGTCATCCGCCAAACCTCAGGTAGAGGAGAGGGACTCGCAAGTCAAAGGTGGAGAGTGGAACTGTGGGATTGTGGGACAGGTATATTGATCCGGGGCAAGGACATTGAGGTGTATCTAGGGGTTCAGTGCTATCATTTTTTCATTGCGTTGTACATAGAGGACATGGATGGCATGCACCGTATTTTTGCCCTAATACCTATATTCGACTTCCTTACAGTTCGACTTTTTTTTGAAGGGCGAAGACATGCAAGTCTTTCAATAACTTTTCCATGATTTACCTGAATCGATTGACGATTTTGCCTATTAATGGCTCTCCCCTGTAGCACCGTTGGCAATTGCGCTAGATGTAGTTGTCAGTTCTCGACCACCGGATGTGCTCAAGTCTCAACTAGTAGTGGCGACGCTCACATCTAGCAGCCCTGCTGGACCTGGTGGCGGCTTTCGCTGGACACTGCTCCTAGTTGTTGCTCCACAAATGACTACACCCCATATAATAGTTGTAAACGTGGTTCCACGTGGTCTAAGACTCGGATGGTTTGTTAGTCATTGTAGCATACATGTAGCTATAGCACCGCAGATGCAAGGTTCAATGGCAGCGGACATATGCTATTAGTGAGGGCAGTCGAGAATGGAGCAGAGCAAACCTGATTTCAATGTTTGCGACGGGTTTTGAAATATGCTCTCGACGACTGGGTAAATCGACGATAGGGACGATGCTAGGTGTTTTCAAGAGGGGTTGGCTATCTGAATCGGTAGGTTACCTACTATATTTATATTGGAATACCAATAGTTACTTCCCTACCTAGGCACTTATTTCCATCCAGGTGGCTTTTGAAAGGGTCCTCAATTGGCCCCTGTTGTTTCATCCACCGACTAGAATAGAGGAAGATCTGGTCAAGGACGGCTTGACTTGCTCCGGGATACCAACAGGCGAGACGATAGGTCAAGGTGGGTTAAGGTGAATGGGCCAAGGAGGAAGCCAACAATGGCAGTGGACCACAGCCAAGCCGTGAAGCCATGCTAACGATCATACAATTCCAGGTTAACAATGATGTCCTAGAACCAAAAGTGACAACTGTCCAAGAGCATTCCTCTGAACAGCAACAAGTGCCAAAACTAGGACTCTAGGTCAACTTAGCGTTACCTACCTTACCTAGGTAAGTAACGTAGCTGGGCCAATGGTCGACAAATGATAGGTGTTTTAACTGACTACAACTTAACCACCTATTATCATTACGTAGGGTGACTCGAGAACTCACAGAGGTAGCCAGAGATAGCTGTTGTTGAGCCCTTCCCCTCTTCGCAACGTGACACCCGATTCGGGGAATTCGTCAAATAGGCGTCAAAAACAAACCAAACTAATCTTTAGATTCTGCTCGATGCTTGTGATGCTCGCCTCATCAATCCGACTCCTGACTTCTTTTCCCTCACATTCTTCTCGGACCAAGCCAGCTGGGCCCTGACGCGTGAGTGGTCAGAAGCATTTCGCTAAGGCGAAACATGAAACAATCCAGGCCGGGGTCCGATGTCACCCTGCTCGGAACGAGACAGCGCACAGACGTAAAACAGCCTGAGATTGGAGAGTTTGATAAGGTGGTTGTCACCCACTGGCAACAGAAGACGCCCACCAACCTCCGCCTTGTTCGTGCAGTTAGGTACCGAGTTAATGCTCCAGTCGAGGCGCCTGAGTGAGGGAACTTTCCGTCTGCCGATGCTTGCACGCCGCTCGGTCGGCAGTGGATCTCACACAACCAACGATGATTTGCATGAGCGGGACCGGTGCACCGAACCAATGCCAGAGTGACATCGAAAAAAAAAGTCATTCTGCAAAGTCGGCAATCACCACGGACAACTGACGAAGTGTGTTCCCGGAAAACCGGGCTCCTGTGAAAGATGTGCATCCTTGATCGCCTTGGAATATTTTTGATGTCCCTTGGTGCAGAAATGGTTGGGCTAGCGGCTGAACTGAACCGTTGAGATCGGCAATGTAAGTCACTGCCCAGATATCAGCTGGAAGACAACCCGAAAGGCAGCTCCATTAATAGAATCAGCCGCGGAGACCAGCGAGGCAGGCTGTGGGCAGTTGCTATGTACTTGAACCTGAAATCTACCTGCCTAAGATTCCCAGCAGCGCCTCTCTGCGCCGAAGTGGTGCTGGTATCACACGCAACATGTGCCAGAGACACCGAGTGATGAGTGGTCCTTCTGGAAGAGCTTCAACCCCTGCAGGGCCTCAGTGGACCTCCTCTCCCCGTACCCCTTTTCGTGCTCACTGATCAGACGGGCTTGGCTTCGCCAGCTGGAAGCAGGAATAAGGAGAGACCCCTGATTGGTGAGATGCCTTCAGTTCTGCAAGGCGGCGGGTGCATGGCTCCACTCTCCCACTGCCTGTGGGCAAAAAAAAAGCCCGTCTCCAAGTCGCATACTAATGCGGATGCTGGATTGCAGAAATAAAACGAAAGGCATCCGGAGTCCATAGACACTGTATTTACTTGATTTGCCTTGGATCCATCGGATATGTCACACCTAGCCTTTATTTATCTGTTTTCCTTTTTTTAAATTCATTTTTCCTTGCTTTCTTTTCCCCATGCTTCATTTTTTTTTTTGCAGCCCCGCTTTTCTTTTGGTCAGAAGGGACCTTGGCCCGTGATGTCAGGCTAGGGGTCTGGGGGTTTCTGTGCCTGCTGCTTTAGGTTGCACTTCCTGCTGCGCCAACTCCACCGCGCCAACTCCACCACGAACCTGATAATCCTCCAGCCATCGTCAAACTCTCGAGCGCCAATTCCATCGCTAGAGCCGGGCGAGCGACCCTTCCGAACCGATATGGCATTTCTTTTCAAATCGAAGAAGCATCAGGATCGAGGGCTCACGAGCCGCGATGGACAACAGGGCTCAGGGTCGTCCGCAGGGAGCGCGGCGGCGCGTATGAGAGCAGAGAAGGGCTCTCGATCTACACCTACCGGCAGTCTCCATTCTCTCGACAATGACGGCAGTATGGGCAGCCCCGAGCAATTCGCCCGCCAAAGAGGCCAGAGTCTCGACCAACAACCTCAGAGCTCTCCCCAAACCCTTCAACAACATCCAAACGAACAACAACCCGTACGTTTTCACACCTCACAAACGACCCGTGGCCTTCCTCTCCAGCGCGGTGGCACAGGCAACTGACATCTGGTCATTTTAGCTTCGCAATGGCGCGGCCTCACAACCGGGGACAAACCCGAACGCTTCGCTGTACCCTTGGTCGCAGCGGAGGTTAACATACACATCGTCGCATCCAAGTCCATTCCCGAGATATGGCGCCGCAGTCAATTCCGTCTCGTCCAAGGAGGGCGACATCTATGTAATGGGTGGTCTCATCAACAGCTCTACCGTTAAAGGCGACTTATGGCTGGTCGAGACCAACTCCAATATGTCCTGCTATCCGCTTGCGACCACCGCCGAGGGGCCAGGCCCGAGGGTCGGACATTCGAGCTTGTTAGTAGGCAATGCATTCATTGTGTTTGGCGGAGACACAAAGATCGAGGAAACCGATGTCCTCGATGAGACTCTCTACCTTTTAAATACATGTAAGATCCAGGCGCTGTTTCTCGAATTTTGAGATACTCGCTAACACGCAGTAGCGACCCGACAATGGTCAAGGGCACTCCCGACCGGGCCCCGTCCGGCAGGCCGATACGGGCACTCGTTGAACATTCTAGGCTCAAAGATATACGTCTTTGGTGGCCAAGTGGAGGGTTACTTCATGAACGACCTTGCGGCCTTTGACTTGAACCAGCTGCAAATGCCCAATAATCGCTGGGAGATGCTCATCGCCGGTAGTGACAGCGGTGCCCCGCCCCAAGGGAAGCTACCACCAGCGAGGACGAACCACACTGTCGTGACGTACAACGACAAATTATACCTGTGAGTTTCCTCATCTTTATTTGTCACGTGGAGCATCGCCCGTTGACGCTATTTAGGTTTGGCGGCACCAATGGGTTTAAGTGGTTTAACGATGTATGGTGTTACGACCCCATGACCAATCTCTGGTCGCAGCTGGATTGTATTGGCTATATTCCTTCACCGCGGGAAGGCCATGCTGCAGCCATTGTCGATGATGTCATGTACATTTTCGGAGGCCGCACGGAGGAAGGGGCAGACCTCGGAGATTTGGCGGCGTTTAGGATCAGCTCCCTCCGCTGGTACACCTTCCAGAACATGGGCCCGTCGCCCTCACCGCGATCCGGGCATAGCATGACCGCGGTTGGAAAGACGGTTGTGGTTTTGGGAGGAGAGCCGAGCTCCACCTCCATCACCGTTAATGACTTGGCGATTGTGTACTGTTTGGATACGACTAAGATCCGCTATCCGAATGACGCAGCCGCAAACCGAGATGCTCCAAAGAACAGGCGCCCCAGCGATGTCACGGCTCAAAATACCGCACGAAATGCGCCATCACGCGAGGGCTCGAACGGCCCCCCGGATCCCAGCAGATCCAACGGCCCGCCTAATGGCCCTTCCAGGCTTCCCAGGTCTATGGGGCCAGGAGGACCTGCCGGCCCACCACCCCAGGGGCAAGCTCCGAAACCAGGGCTCAGCGCCGCCCCTCCACCCCGGCCACGGACCTCCTCTCTAGAACGCCCAGATGAGACTCACACCTCCCCCGTGACATCCCCTATCCCACAAGGAGTTGCGTCGCTCCGGGAGGCTGAAAGTTCTGCCGCCGCAAATGGGAGGCGTACACCTCCAACTCAGGCCGCCGATGCACCAAGGACGAAACCCTCTAAACAGGGGCGAAGTCAAGGTTCCGCTGACAGCTCAACCGAGCCAGCTCTGAAACAGGTTGTACCTCGCCCAGCCTCCCCTCCGCCGCCAACTCGGCAGCCTAGCAACCCCCTGGGTAGGAGATCCTCGGCGAGGAGTTCCCAATCTGTCGCTCTTCTCAAAGAGCTCGACTCTGCTAGAAATCGGAATGCCTGGTATGCGTCGGAACTCGAGCTGGCCCGTAGAGCTGGCTACACCCCCAATACATCACTAAGCCCGGTACTCGACAACCGCACCATGGAAACTTTCGATGACGAGGATAAGCCGCTTGTGGAAGCGCTGCTTGCTATGCGGACGGAACTTGCCAATGTCCAGGCATCCGTCGACAAACAGGCAGTTTTTGCGGCCAAGCGAGTCGCCGAAGCCGAGAAACAACGGGATGCCGCTATCCAGGAGGCAATCTACGCTAAGGCCAAGTTGGTAGCACGTGTAGGGGGAAGTGCGAGTAGCACGCCGCAACTCGATAATGGGGAGGATGACGACCGTTCCAGCGAAATTGGCAGGAAGCTTGCCTACGCGCTCAACAGTCAGAAAGAACTCCAGGACCAGCTAGATCGCCTCAGCATCGAGTACGAATCGGAGAGGAAGGCGCGGAAACTCGCAGACGAAACGGCCAATGCAGCGCACAAGAGGATGACGGATCTTGAAACATACAAGCAGCAAAACGCTTCCGAACTCGAGCGACTCAAGGCTGAGCTACACATGACTCAGAAGGAGGCCCGGGAGAAGTCGGTCGCCGCCGTGGAAGCCGTGGCTGCCGCGGAAATGCTCCGCGCCGAAAAGGCCGAGTTCGAGCAGAAGTACACCGAGGCCACAGGGAGCTCCAAGGAACATTCGGAGACCTTCGCTAGTTTGCGTGGTGCGGTGGCCGCCTCCGCCGAGACGAAAGCTCTACTGGAGCGCAAACTTGACGAGGAACGGGCTCTCAGGGAAACCATCGAGTCAAAACTCAATAAGTTGAAGGCCGAGTACGAGGCACGGACCGCCGAGCTTGTCGCCGCGACGCAACGCCTACGGGACACCGAAGAGCTGGCTGAGCAGCACGCCAACGAGGCACGACTGCATCGTGAAGCCGTGATGGCCGGCCTGGAGAAAATGACGATGAAGGATGCTCCCAACTCGGACACTGGCTCCGTCGAACGGATTCGTGCTCTCCAGGGGCAGGTAGACGCAGCCAATGCTTTGGTCAAAAAGTACCAGCACGAAGCGGATACTGCGGCAGACAAACTCCGAGGCGCGGAGGAGCGCATTGCTGGACTTGAAGCATACCAAGAACAGGCCAGCCGCGAGGGTGTATCGATCCGTCGGCAGCTGCAGAACGCTCTAAGGGAAACGCAATCTCTGCAGGCAGGAAACTCGGATCTTAAGCAGCAACTGTCAAAGCAGCAGGTTGAGAGCAATGCCATGCTTGTCCAGTACAATGCTTTGAAGGATATCCTCGGCGAGCGGGGAATTTCACCCACCGTGGCTATGCGGTCGCGCAGCAGCCCGCGAAGCAGTCCCCGCGAAGGATCGCCCGAGCAGATGCGCCTGCGTGAGCTCGAACAGCGGCTTACCACAGCGCAGGCGGCGCTTGAGGAGGCGAAACAGCAAGCCGCGGCCCAGGCGCAAGTATCAGAATCGACGTACCGTAACAAGCTCGCACAGCTCGACAACGATTACCAGTCGGCCGTGCAGTATGTCAAGGGTACCGAGAATATGCTCCAGCAGCTTAAGGAGCAAAGCACGCGTTATAAAAACGAGAACCTCGAGCTGAAGAAGCAGCTAATTAACTTGGAAGAGGCGCTCGGCGCTGATGGTCGCCGTCTGGAAACCTTCCAGCGCGACCTGGAGCAACTCCAACAAGAAAACGCCCTTCTCGAACGGCGCGCCCAGGATGCTGAGCAAAAGGTCAGCACTCTCCTCGACCAGGTAGAGCTCTCGGTGGACAACTACCGCCGCCGGAGCAGGCAGGTCCCCAGCCTGAACTCGGAGTCCATCGGCATGGCCACCTCCAGCACAGCCAACGGTGGCGGCAACGGCAACGGGAACCACCACCGCATACCAGGCCACCTGCGCCAGGAGTCCACCGCCAGCGAGGCCGAGAGCCTCTACGACCCCTCCGCCCCGGCCCACGGCACTACCACCACCGCCGGCGGCAGCGGGCTGGGCGAGGCGCGGAACAGCGCGGCGCTGGACAGTCTGGCCAACGAGCTGGAGACGCTGCGCAGTCACTGGGAGACGACCAACAAGAACTACCGGCTCAGCAACGCGTTCGACATAGACGCCCACCCGGTCGCGACGGGCGCGGGCGCGTCGTCCCGGAAGGATGACGGTGCCGGTGCCGGTGCTGGTCTGGGTTTGAGCGAGAGCCTCGCCGACTGGAGAAAGAGGCTGGATGAGGGCCACCCAGATGCTCCCGGTGGTGCGAAGTGAGAGAGAAAAGGTGTGTGCGTGTGTGCGTTGGGATGCGGGATTTTGTATACGCGTGGGATAGACGGGGAAGGGCGAGGGAGGAGGGGGTGTACTACTAATATTCTGGGTGTGGTTTCAACCGAACAGGCGGTTCCTTCTTGTTTCATTTTCTGCTTACCTACTTGGAGAAGCTGGGGGTGTTTTCTTTCTTGCCTTTTTCTTTCTCATGTCGGCATCACCGACCGAACATGTGGAAGCCGGCAATTTGTTGTCATTTTCTTTTTCTTGCTTTTGTCTTGACTGACTGAGCTGCCTAGGCTGCTTTCTTTTTTTCGTTTTCGATTTTCTTCACCTCCGTTCTTCTCGTTTGATCGAACACCACGGAGGTTGAGCGGCTTTACGAAGCGAGCTGTGCTTGATGGTGCTTGTTTTGCTGTACTTTGCTCTGTGTGACGATATATAGGCGGTCAGCCCTTTTTGTTGTCGTTTGTTTGATACTGGATGGATGGAGACTGGACAGTGGGGGGGATGATGGATGGATGAAGTCAATGAGGAAGGGGAGCCCAGGTTATATCCGCTCTTTCCCTGGCGGCGGGTGCCAGATGGAGTTTGTGTTGTTTGAATAATATACCACTGTCTCTTCCGTTGTGCTTTGCTTTTCGGCTTTTTTGGCTATCGGTCATTTATAATGTGTAATGGTAGTAGACTCGGGATAAAACAAGGATGGGCTCTGGATGTGGAGGTTGGAATGTGTTGACGCTAGGAAAATCGGCATATTTTTCTGTTGTCATCTTCTGGGTAGGGTTATGTCGAGTATAAATAGCAATGTACTCATTTTATTTCCACGCCTAACAGCCCCATTTGTTCTAGATATCTTTCTATCTAACTCACCGCTTTCATCCAAATCGAACTCCAAACATCAAGCCACGCATATGACCAATCTACAACCGACCTACGCCTCCAACCCATCAATACACATCCCCTAGTATCAATGCGATATCAGACGATCCCAGTTATGAGGCGAAAACACTAACCAACCCCCTCACCACTACTGCGCGGTGATTAGACTGAGATAGATCCCCCACCCCAGCCCCGCCATCGCACCCATCAAACTCCTCGCCTCCACACTCGTCAAAAACACATAATTCACCAAGCTCACCAGCGGCCAAAACCGCCACCCCGCCTTGATCAACCCCCAAAACTCCACCTTCATCAACGCCCACACGCTCGCCCACGCCACATCCTGATACCTCAGCACCTCCGACCCGCCGCCCCCCAACAAAAAACGCCAACCCCCCCACCCCCACCCCCCCATCCACCACCCGCCGCCGCGGCGCGCGCCGCGTAGTGGTGGGCCATGGCCTGGCGCGCGGCGTGCATGAACAGGCTGTACATGGCGGTGTTGGCGGCGGCGCCGACGGTCTGGTCGAGGAGGGTCTTGGCCGCCGTGTTGCGCTTGTTGAGGCGCGGCTCGACGAGGGCCTTGGGGCCGCCCTTTGCGGCGTCCAGCTTGGCGTCCGGGTCGGAGGCGGCGGACACGGCCGCGGTGGTGGGGGCGAGGTGGTACGCGGGGAAGGTGCTTTCGAGGAAGTCTTGCCAGAAGGAAGTTGCGGAGGCGTGGAAGAGCAGGGAGAAGAGGGCGTATTGGAAGACGGGGATGTAATCCGATTGTGAGGGGGGTCTGTGGTTGGTTTGGGGTGGGGTTGGTTAGTTAGTGTTTTGGGTGGGTGAGTGAGATTGGGGGGTTTATGAAGAAAATAACGGACGTTGCTTTTGATGAAGCGGTGATGGCTTGAAGCCTAGGACATTGGAAATGGTCAGAGATGACCGGGCGGTCTGGAGGGTCCGCCGTTACAATTGGTGGAGGCATGGCTGCGGGTTTTGTGAGTGAGTCGCCTGGTGGTAGTGGCAGATGATTTCACAGTAGCCTGAACCTCAAAATGAGGGTTTGTTTGGGAATTTGAGTTTGGGGGTGAGAAGTGAAATAAATGGTGTTGAGACGGCGCTGAGTGCTTGCTTGTCCTTGACGAAAGCGAGTGCAACGCCGCTGGACCCACTTGCCACGCCGTTCCTAGTCTCACTGGTTGGCCATGGACGAATGTGGCATGAAACAATTGAAGGAGAACCGGACATTTCTGTCCTTGCAGCTGAATATTGTCGGTGAGAATACCGAGGGTACATGGTTTTCTTCGCCGAGCTTCTCCATTCTGAGTGGTCGAGGTGACAGTATGAGTGGCCCAGAATGTGTTCGCAAATTTACCGAGTTAACAAGTCTCAGTCATTTCTGTTCACGTCTAGTGGTAGTACATGCTCTGCAATTCATCTCACATTCCGCGTTGAATCGCTGTTCGCTCCGTGTATAGGTAGCCTGCATCCTGCCATCAACCCGCGGCCAAACGGCTCTCATACCCCCTGTTTCTTCCCGCAAGTGGCTGCTTAAGAGCGGCAGAGGATCCACATGAAGAACAGCTGCACAACGTAGGAGTAAAAGAATAGGAACTGCGTCCGCTGGCTCCTCTTGGCCCGTGAGTCGAGGGGGTGCATCGTCTGCATTGGACCCCGGTTGTCGTTGTTGTTCTCGGGTAGGAGAACGTATTTGAGAGAGCGCATCTAACCCTCAAGTCAGCTATGAAACGGTAAACGACGTAGATCTGAACAGCACAACTTACCAGGAAGAGTGAGTTTGCCAAGAAGGTGTAGATGAACACAGACCACCCGATCCAGCCGCCCGTTCCCTTCCCGCCATTAACAACCTCAGCCACGCTGATGGTGACAATCACACCCACGAACTTGTAACCCGAGTACGCCACCAAGTCCAACAACTGCGACTCGTTCGAGATGCTCAGTAGGTAGCAACCCAGCTTCAAACCCAAGATCTCCACTATCACTGCCACCACCGCCGTGGTCGCAATATACCCGAATAGTTCCGGTTGGAATTGGCCCTTTAACCCGGAGATCAGGGCCTGCAGGAAGATGTATGTGACCAGCGACATGACGGGGATGTACATATCGGGGCTGTTGACGTCATCGCGCGGTGGCAGGTACCAGGCCTCCTGCCCCGAGGGCCCCGTAGCCTGGCGTCTGGTCCATGGCTTGTGCCGCCAGGGGAAGAGGACGAGGAACAGTTTGTTTATTACGTAAGAGTTGGTGACAATAAAATAGTGTTTGAGCGCCGAGACGTTGACGAAGCGGTTCACCTGGTGGTTGCAAGTTAGTATGATGTATCACAAAAGCCTCGTTGAGTGCAGCTGGGCGTACGTTTTGTTCAATATATTCTTGCCCCTGCCTGAACGCTGTCTGGCCAAATTGCGATGCTATTTGCGCGGCCGGGTCGTTGATGAAGTTGCCGTACTGTCCAAATACATTGGGTCCTGCCGATGGCACCGGGCCTTGTTGTTGCTGTTGATGCTGCTGCTGGTGTGGTTGTTGAGGGTACGGGCTGCCATCATAGCCGCCTTGGGGTTGTGAGGTTGGTGGAGGCGGGGACCGCAGCTGGGGGACTGTCGAGACGTGTTGCGGCACCGGGTGGTGGAGGGGAGGGGAGCGTCCGTAGGTTGCTCGTTGCTGCATGATGCGCAATTGATAGAGGGTAGGAAGTAATACGGTTTGATTCTGAGGCTTTGAGGAATTCGTTGGTGGGCGGATCGGTCGCCGCGGTCGGCAATTGACGAGGAGTGTGGTGATGGGAGCTCGGTGCCCTCAAAATGCGGCAAGTTTGGCTGTTTCTGGACATGTGTTTTCAGCAGCTTATTGCGTGTCGAGTCCCCTGAATGGTAAAGCTTGGCAGTAGATGGGCCGGTTAATCCACGGCCGATGCCGCAAGGCCCAGGCCCGCCCGGCAACGCCAACCTATCACTGAATGCGATTCTTCTTGGGAGGGACAAGGGGCTGCAGCCATTGCCACAAGCGTGGAACACGCGGCCGAGAGAACAGTTTACACGATTCACTGATCAGTCTTTTTGCATCAGCAAAAGCCAGCAACAAGGTCGGTGCTCCACCTGCGCTTCACCATGTTGGACGCTTTCGAAATCATCAACACCTCCGGTGTGGTTCTTTGGTCTAGGAATTATGCAGCTGTCAGCCCCTCGGTAGTCAATAACTTCATCTCGGATGTCTTTATCGAGGAGAAGAGCACCGTCACCGGCGCAAAGGATGGCGCATCCGCCGCCGCCAACCCACCTTACAAATATGATCAGCACAGTTTAAGATGGACATTCAACAAGGAATTGGGCATCATTTTCGTCGTGAGTACCAGGAATCCCCTTCTCTATCTTCTTCGCCACTGACACTTGCGACAGGCAGTCTACCGGTCTCTCCTCCACTTGCCCTGGATCGATAAGCTCGTCGACAACATCAAAGCTATCTTCTTGAGTCTCTACGGCGACCAACTTAAGAAGCCAAACACCACCATCATCGAGTGTATCAAGTTCGACGAATACTTTGAACAGCAAATCCAAGAGCTAGAGCAAGGCAGCAGCAAGTCGGATACACGTGCATACATTGATGAGGCTACCTCCGAGGATGCGGGCGACGACCCTCCTTTGCCGCCAGCTCTTGTACCCAACCAGAAGCCTCAGGACAAATCGTCGGCCGAACCTTCCCCGGTTGCAACACCTAATGTCTCGCGCCCGTCAACTCCCAGCGCAAGCCACCTGCTGGTGGCCAAGCCTGGACCTGGCGGCAAGATGTCGAGACGAGCAAGAAAGATCCAGAACACCACTTCGGCGCCACCTTCATCCGGCGACGAGGGCCCGGGGCGGAAGGGGAAGCCGGTTAAGGCGGCGAAGCGCGGGCGGAAATGGGATGCAGATGGGCTTGCGGATGAAACCGACGACGTCCAGCTCGATTACTCAATCACAAACGACAGTGGGGCTGAAGCTGGTGGGAGGCCAGGAGCCGTCGAGGAAGTGGATGCTTCCACGTGGGGTGAGACAAGCAAGGGGAAGTTTGTGCTCAGGGATTTGGGTGATGAGGTTCATTCTATTCTGGCGGATGCGGACGCCAAGAAGAACACCACAGCCAAGGCCGAGGGGTCGACGGGTCTTGTTGGCTCAAGTTTGAGTGCCATCGGAGGACTGTTTAGGAACGTGGTTGGTGGCAAGACCTTGACGAAGCAGGATCTCGAGAAGGCGATGAAGGGCATGGAAGAACATCTTCTCAAGAAGAACGTTGCGCGAGAAGCTGCCGTGAGGCTGTGTGAGGGCGTTGAGAAGGAACTCCTTGGAGTGAAGACGGGAAATTTTGAGAGTAAGCTCGCTTCCCTCGCCCTTGACCCCTAAAACACTACCACTAACACTTACATCAGGTATAAACGCGAGGATACAGAAAGCCATGGAAGCCTCCCTGACCAAGATGCTCACCCCGACATCCTCCCTTGACCTCCTTCGTGAGATCGACGCCATCACCGCGCCGTCCGCTACTTCTCTCCGGAAAGCCCGCCCTTACGTCATGTCTATCGTCGGCGTCAACGGTGTCGGCAAGTCCACCAACCTTTCCAAGATCTGCTTCTTCCTTCTCCAGAACAAGTATAAGGTTCTCATCGCCGCCGGCGACACGTTCCGCTCTGGGGCCGTCGAACAGTTGGCAGTACACGTTCGCAATCTCAAGGAGCTTACGGCTCGTGAGGGTGGACAGGTCGAGCTATATCAAAAGGGGTATGGCAAGGATGCTGCGGCCGTGGCCAAGGATGCCGTTGCTTTTGCCGCGCAAGAGGGTTTCGATGTTGTGCTCATTGATACCGCTGGGCGGAGGCACAATGACCAGCGGCTGATGTCGTCGCTCGAGAAGTTTGCCAAGTTTGCGCAGCCGGACAAGATCTTGATGGTCGGCGAGGTATGTCTACTCTGAACCCACTCTCTACGCACAAAGATCTAAGAATACTGACTCATCCGATTAGGCGCTCGTCGGCACGGACTCGGTCGCCCAAGCCAGGAACTTCAATGCCGCCTTTGGGTCCGGCCGGTCCCTAGATGGCTTTATTATTTCGAAGTGCGACACTGTTGGAGACATGGTCGGCACGCTGGTCAGCATTGTGCATGCCACGAACGTGCCCGTGTTATTTGTTGGTGTTGGGCAGCATTACTCGGACTTGAGAAACTTCTCGGTCAAATGGGCCGTTGAGAAGCTGTTGAGTAGCACATGAGACGGTATCAGAGGGCCAGTTAGATATGGCGTGCGTCTTGCGCAGAATTAGGATATTAGTAATGTCTTTTAGAGTCCGTGATAGGATAAACGTTACCCCCAACATACCGGCACTTCTGGTTCTCGGTGCCTGGTCTTGCTGTGTATAATCTGTACCTCTGTTGCCCCTGATTTCCATTTCCGTTTGCTAAGGGTTAGGGTCGTTCGTTTGTAAAGCCATCACGTGTTTTCGTGCCAACCTCAAACTTTCGACGCCCCGCGAAAACGCGTCTCTTCCAATCGGCCTCGACTGGGCGTGTTTCCCCAACGTCGCATCACCGACACCATTTGCTTCCCCGATCGCCGCACCGACGATGCTAGCGACAAATGGCTTCCGACTTGCACGGTAAACCGGCCCGGCCCGGCTACCAACATCAACAGCTCCATGGCTTTAATGGTGCCACAGGACCGCCCCCCTCAACCCTCGCCGCCCAACTCGTCGAGAACATTTCAACAACAGCCTCCAAATCCTCCCGACCCGACGAGACCACCGAGCTAAAGCGCCTATTTGCCGCCATCGAGAAGGTCAAGAATGACCCGGGCTCCCTCAAGTCCCACGAAGAGCGCGTCGAGCACAATCATCTGCTCGTCTACGTCTGCGGCGGCGTCTTCCTCGAGAAGCTGAAATTGGACGATGCGTTTACCGACCGGGAAAGGCTCCGAGCCGACGCGCTCAAGGCGGTCAACTTCTTGTGGGTGACCATCAAGGAGACGCCGACGGTGTTGAAGCGCACGACCGACGGCAAGGCCTATCTGGGCAGGGGTTCGGAGCCGCTCTGGGTGTGGATCTTGCCCAAGTTGCTGCGCATGCTGGGGCATCGGCGGTGTATTGGCATGTCGAAGGAGATTGAGCAGTTGTGTCAGCGTGTGTTGCTGCTGGCTGCGGGGAATACTGGGTTGTGGGATTTGGGGAATGCGTTGATGGAGTATTTCAGGGCGAACCTAAGTGGTGAGTGTCGAGTTGTATCCGGCTCTACTGCAGCGCTGACTGACTCGTTGGGCTTGCAGCTATCATTGCGAGTTTGAAATCCAGGACCCCGTTTTCGCGCGAGACTCCCTTTGAGATAAAGCTGCCACCGAAGGCTCTCCTCGATACCCTACCCCAGGGTGCACCCCGCGGATGCACCCTCACACTTCGGGACGCCGAGCACGCCATTCGTCATGCCTTAGGTATACTGGAAATAATTAAGGGCGTGGTATACAAACCAGATGCCCAGGCTTCTTTACTTTACGGCCAGAATCTAGTTTGGCTCCTGGACACCTTACAGCCGCTGAGCTCGATCCTACTTAGCTGGCCAACGTCCCTTGGGATTGGCTTGGATCCGATCCTTCAAATCGCCATAGACTTGGCAGACTCTCACAGTGACTCCCAGGGGTCAGAATCAATACTCTACCACAAAGCCAGCGCAGCTTTGGTCTTGGTTTGCGCGGATTTCTTGCAAACGCCCCAACCGCTCCTCACTGAGGACGATGATGGCGTGGCCCATAGACGGGCCTTCTGCTCTGCGTTGATTTGCCTTGCTAAAGCTTCAACCGATCATGCACCAACATCACGGCTTGTGGTTTCCGGGCTGCTGCCTTCTGCTCAACGGCTAGTTTCCGAGAATCCTGTGGTTGGGGAAGGGACAGATACCTGGGTATGCTTTGTCTCTTTTATTGCAATAGTTAGTCACCCTGCTAACCATACCTCAGCGATCTGTTCACCTTCTAACCGAGGTAACAGCCAACTATCCACTTGAAAGCCGCAGCGAGGAGACTCGGCCGGCTATGTTCATGGATCCCGAGCTCGGCCTTCAGCTTCAGAGACTAGCGCTTCGGCCGAATAATGATGGGCCCGGCAACCCGGTTGCTAAACGGAAAAGATTGAATGATGACGAACCACCATTGTTTCTCGAGCTTAGGACTCAACTGTGCCGGCTGGCAACCCGCGATCCTGACACCCCAATAGATGAATTGGAACCTACTATAATGTGTGTTCCGCTTACGTGTTCAACGAGATCCATCGGACTAACGGTTTTATAGTGACCAGTTCCCGGCGATGGATGAAGAGGACCAGTGCTACCTCATCGACCTCGTTTGTCGTATACCCTGTGCCGCTGACCACACGTTGAAGCTCGGGAGGGCAAAGCAATCAGCGCTACCCGCATTCCTGTGTTCCTTTTGCTCGGAGGCTAAGTTGACCGACTTGCCGGCTGCACCCCGACTCGAACAATTACATGCTATTGGAATCTCGATATTTAGTAGCATCATCAAGCTTCCGAGCTTCTTAGAATCCCGGCGACTTCGAGTATCTGCTATGATTGTCCTCCGACGTCTTGCAAAGCACTCGACAGACAGCGGGCTCTGGGACTTGGAGAAATCCGGTCCTGGGCAATGGTGTCTCCAGTCGTTACAAAGTTCCATCCGAGAACTGCGCATTGCTGCTGGACGAGCCCTCGCTGTTTTCATCTCGGAACCACTCACGCCGGGATTCGACTGGGAAATCCTGAGGCGGAACAGGGCCAACGCATTAAGTATACTCAAGTCAGTCTCCGACAAGGGCGCCGCAAATTTGCATGAAACGTGCATCATGGCTTGGGCCCAGGTCGGCAAGGTCGTGTCCGTTGATGAGCTCAACCTTGCCGTCATCACGCTGGTGGAGTATCTAGGACACCGCAGCATAATCGTGTCAGGCCTCGCTTTCAATGAGATTCTAAATCTCGCCGAGTTCCGGGGAGAAACTCCGGCACAGCTGTTCCAGCATTTCTGGGCAAACCTAGCGTTCTCTGTTGTCAAGGACCTGGTATCCAAGCCGCAGACGGCACAGCTGGTTGCCGACCTGATGCAGATGAGTGTCTCTGACCTCCTGCTCACAATACAGAAACATGCCCTGCCCTGGCTGGTCCTTACCAAGAAACGGGAGGTTATACAAAAGATCACTGAGGCACGGGGTGATACCGAAACCTGGGAGGCGTGTATGGATGCAGGTAACCTGCCATCAATCCTGGCGCTCCTCCTTGTGCAGGATGCTCCTGACATCGCCTCTCATACCATGTCCTTACTTGGACACGTCTCCCCTCACGTGGACAGGTTTGAGCTGGTGGAATTGCTACGAACAGATCCCCTCCCTATTGCCCTGGAGCTTCTCAAGGCCAGTGCTGGTGCGAATGACGCTCGAAAGGCGCGAGTAAGTTGATTTGAATCGATCCATGATTGCTAAACAGCACACTGACTGCATACAGGTTCGAGCCGCGCTGACCACGATGGCGACACTCCTTTTGGCGGACCAGAAAGATAAGCGGAAGAAGACACAGATTGTAGGACGCTATCTGCAACAGCATGCACTCGGCTTGACAGCACGGTTGAGTGAGGTTATCAATGATACCTGGCTCTCAACTCCTCCAATTTCGGAGCAGCAGCGGTGCCTCGGGGCTATGGAAGAGATGATAAGGATATGCAACACCTTCGTGTGTATTGCTCGTCCGCAGATCTCGGCTTGCCTCCTCTCTGCTCTGGCATCCGAGGAACTGCGCTCTGCCGCCTTCTCCTGCTGGGAAGTCATGCTCACTCACATGGAAGCGGCGGACGTGGAGGCACTGATCGAGACCACCTTCTTCGTCATCGGGTCTTACTGGAAGTCCTTCGACAAGCTAACCAAGAAGAAATCCGAGCTTTTGATCTGGAAGCTACTGGAAGATCATAACCGCATCTTGGCCGACCACGTTTATCAGCTGCCCTCGCTGAACCACGTAGACGATCTTGCAGAGGTTTGCAAAGAGTTGGACAATCTTCGGGGGCCTTTGGATAACCGGGCAGCATTTGCTGTCTTCGCCAAGCGATTGGAACATGAGAACCCTGGAGTGGTGGAACAGGCACTGGTTGAGCTGATTGCATTCCTCGACAAGAACCAGGACTACCTCCAAACCTCGGCCATCAGCGAGCAACCAGACCCGGTTGTCACCGAACTTATGCGCTCCTTGCTGGACTGCTCCGCAAAATACAATGGCTGGCATCTTGATGTTACCCGACTCTGCGCCCAGGCGGCTGGTCTTGTTGTCTGTGTAGATTCGAATCGTCTGGAGGCGGTTCGCGAGCAGAGCCAATTCGTTGAAGTTCGCAATTTCGACGACGCTTCCGAGACCACCGATTTTGTCGCCTTCATGCTCGAGAACGTACTCGTCAAAGCCTTCCTATCAACTGCCGACACTAAGTTTCAAGGGTTCCTCTCCTACGCGATGCAGGAGCTCCTCCTAAGAACCGACTTCAACTACGCTCACCTCCAGCAAAGCCAAGGCGGCGTTAATGAGGCGATCTACAGAAAGTGGCTTACCTTTTCGGAGAACACACGGGAAGTGCTGACGCCGTTCTTATCGTCGCGATTCGGAGTGGCTCCTATGGTGCAGCAGCCGACCGAGTATCCCATATTCAAACCCGGGCGGTCATATGCCTTCTGGCTGAGAGCCCTCGTTCTTGATCTCCTCCGGAACGCCCAAAACATCAATAGTGAAGCTGTTTTCGAGCCACTGTGCCGGCTGATCAAGGTTAAGGACCTCACCGTAACTGAGTTCCTGCTGCCGTATGTGGTTCTGCATGTCATTGTGGGCCAGGAGAGGACGAATGACTTCAGGAAAAAGATCTCGGCTGAGCTGGTGGCAATGTTGAAGTACCAGCCCCCGGAGACTGCTTCGTATGTGGAAAAAGAAGAGGCGAAGTTATTCTACCAGGTATGGGCCGGTTCATGTTTACCTCCGAAATGTCACCTAACCTCTAACAGGCCGTGTTTCGCATCCTTGACTATTGCATGAGGTGGAAACAAGTGAAAAGGTCTCAACACAGGCAGACAGACCGCGACCAGCAACAAATCCAATGGGTCCAGGGGGTCATTAGCTCTCTTGACCCGGAGTTGATATCCCAACGAGCAGTCGACTGCAACGAATATGCACGGGCGCTCTTCTTTCTGGAGCCGCACGTTGAGAGCCGTGAGAATAAAGCGGGTAAGGAGGAGAACGATCGTATTTTGCAAACTTTGCAGAGTATCTACACACAAATCGACGACCCGGATGGTCTCGAAGGTGTATCGGCACACTTACAACATGTGACTCTAGATCAGCAAGCCCTTAACCACCGCAAAGCCGGACGATGGACGGCAGCGCAGACATGGTATGAGATCCGGCTCGCCGAGTCCCCCGAGGATGCGGATATCCAACAGGACCTCTTGACTTGTCTGAAAGAGTCCGGACAACACGGTAAACCTGTCCACGCATAGTGAGAAACAAATCCCACTAACATATTTGCAGATGTTTTGCTCAACTATGTCGAAGGCATGAGCCTAAATAACATAAACAGGATCGCACCATTCGCCGTCGAAGCTTCATGGGCCACCAGCAGATGGAAAACCGTCCAGAAGTATCTCCAGCTGTACAGCGGGGGAGACGTCTCAGAGGTGTTCAATCTCGGCGTCGGGCAAGCCCTGCTCTGCCTCAAGAATGGAAACATCGACAAGTTCAAGGAGCATATCCAAATGCTACGGGACAAGGTGGCTGGTTCCATGACATACTCGACGACTGCCTCGCTGCGCGCTTCTCATGATGCCATGCTCAGGTGTCACGTTTTGAGTGACCTGGAGATGATCGCCAACGAAAATCTTAAGGGAGACGGCGATCAGCAGGACGTTATTATGAACCTGGACAGACGGCTCGAGGTACTCGGGGCGCGCGTGGGTGATAAACAGTATCTGCTCGGGATCAGGAGAGCGGCAATGGAGTTGATGCGGTATGTCTACCTTGTTTCCCTTGACTCGAGCACGGCTGCTAATCCGCTTAGACCCAAATTTGGGAATGAAGACATCTCGTCACAATGGTTGTCTAGCGCGCGGCTGGCGAGAAAAGCCGGGTCCATGCATCAGTCCTTCAACGCTGTGCTGCATGCGCAGCAGCTTGGAGACGGCTCCGCTATCATCGAGAACGCCCGGCTGTTTTACAAGGATGGGCACCATCGCAAGGCGATTCAGACCTTGCAACTCGCCATCTCCACCAACTCCTTTATCAATGTCAGTTCCTTCAGCACCAGCGTGCCGCCAACCTCAAGCAAAGGGCCAGCGGCACAGCGCAATCTCTTAACGGCAAGAGCCCACCTCCTCCTTGCAAAGTGGCTCGACTCAACGGGTCAAACAAATGCCGGAGCACTTCGGTCACGATACCAGCAAGCAGCAAAAACACACTCCAAGTGGGAGAAGGGCCATTACTATCTTGGCCGCCACTACAAGAAGGTTTTGGAGTCGGAGAAGGCTCTCAAACCAGACGACCAGACGGACTCGTACCTGAGCGGCGAGACCGCGAAGCTGGTCATCGAGAACTACCTTCGCTCTCTCATTTACGGGACAAAGTATCTCTCTCAAACCTTGCCGCGCATTTTAACGTTGTTCCTTGAACTGGGCGCTCAGGTTCAAGTCGACAAAGCCGCCGACGGCAAAATATCAATATCTCGGGAGCTGCAAATGCGCAAGAAGGCCATCTTTCACGACCTATGCAAGAGCTTCATGAAAAACATAATCCGACTGCCAGCATACGTATTCTACACATCTCTACCGCAAATTGTGGCAAGAATAGCGCATCCTAATCTGGATGTGTTCAAGGTGCTGGAGTCGATGATTCTCAAAGTGGTGGAGGCGCATCCCCAACAGTCCATATGGAGTCTGTTCCCACTTATGGCGTCAAGACAGACTAGCGAACGCCGAACCAGAGGACTCCAGATCTTACAGGCTGCTCGTAACCTCGGAAAGAAGGCACATGGTTCGTCTCACGATCTCAGATCGTTACTGAAAATGGGCGAGAAGCTGGCCGAACAACTCTTACTGGCCTGCAAGAACGGCGATTTCCCGAATAGCAGGACGACCACGGCGAGCATTACGAGAGATCTCAACTTCAACCACCAATGCACTCCCTGTCCGCTAGTGGTGCCGATCGAGGCCTTTTTGACTGCGGCGCTACCAACACTCACAGATACCTCCCGGAAACACAAGGCATTCTCCAGGGATGTAGTTACCATCAGGGGTTTCCTTGACCATGTCCTAGTACTCGGGTCCTTGGCAAAACCACGCAAGCTCACGGCATGCGGGTCTGATGGCAAGCAGTACGGCCTGCTGGTCAAGCCCAAAGACGATCTCCGCACTGACCAGCGGCTGATGGAGTTCAACACTCTCATCAACCGTTCCCTCAAGCGGGATGCCGAATCCAGCAGGCGTCAACTCTACATCCGCACGTATGCCGTTACGCCGCTCAACGAGGAGTGCGGTATCATTGAGTGGGTGGACGGGCTCAAGACGCTGCGTGACATCTTGCTCGCCATCTACAAATCGCGCGGCATCGTACCTAATTACCAGGAGCTCCAGATCAAAATGAACCAGGCTGCCGCATCGCCCTCAAACATCCACATCTTCACCGACGATATCCTAGGCAAGTTCCCGGCGGTCTTGCCCGAGTGGTTCATCGCGCAGTTCCCCAACCCATCGGCGTGGTTCGCCGCGCGGCTCAAGTACACGCGCTCCTGCGCGGTCATGTCCATGGTCGGCACGATCCTGGGGCTGGGCGACAGGCACGGGGAGAACGTGCTCCTCGAAGAGGGCAACGGCGGCATCTTCCACGTCGACTTCAACTGCATGTTCGACAAGGGCATGACGTTCCCGCAGCCCGAGTGCGTGCCGTTCCGGCTGACGCACAACATGGAGGCGGCTATGGGCATCTACCGGACCGAGGGCCCGTTCCGCCGCTGCAGCGAGCTGACGCTGCGCATCCTCCGGCAGCAAGAAGAAACGCTCATGACCATCCTCGAGGCCTTCATCTACGACCCCACGCTCGACCTGCAGCGCACCAAGCGCCACCACGAGGGAACCAAGGTCAAGCTCAACCCGACGAGCGCCGTCGAGAGCATCCGCCGCAAGGTTACGGGCCTGCTGCCTAAGGAGAGCATCCCGCTTGGTGTGGAGGGCCAGGTTGAGGAGCTGATTAAGGGGGCGGTCAATCCGCGGAATTTGACGGCTATGTATATTGGGTGGTGTCCTTTCTTGTAAGGGTTAAGGGGGCTGTTTTTGCTCTGTTTTGTTTTGTTATGTTTGGTGAAGAGGATTTAGGGTAACGAGCATGCATCTTCTGAGGCTAGGTGATGATGAATGATGGGATGAGATTGTATAGATATGACCATGAGAATACCTCATATAAGACTCTTTTTTTCCTAGCAACTGGATAACTATGTCCCTTTGTGATGCCCAGCTGTTGTAAAGTTTGATGGGTTAAAGAGAGGTTCCAAGGCAATTTGCCCGGAATTGGTCCCCGCCAAATTGCACAAGGTCCTCGACCCTGGCCAAATGATTTCGTTTTCCTTCTCCCAACGCACCTTCCATCTTCTCTTTACAAAATCTCTGCGGCTGCCTGAATTGTGAATCAGTTTACCAGCAAAATTCTATTTACCCTGTGGGTTCTTTTTGTCTGTTCCAGTTTCAAACTGTGCAAGCTCAAAAATACAAGCTTGGATCGCAGCCGCAATGACGCGCCTTGCATTGCGCCGCTGACCGCTGGAACATCCAAGAGCACACCGCGACTCAACCGAATCGGCGACCTCCTCTTGTTTTTCATCATTGTTTTCCGGGAACTGATTACCAGGAAAGGCCAATTCATCGTCAAGTGGATTTACTATTGAGATGTCGTATCGCATTGGTAAGTTTTATTTCATCCAATTCATTACCCAGGTCGCACCTCGCGGCGAAGCTTTGGAGCTGTCATCCTTGAACAGTGAAGCTTGGATGGAGCTTCAAGCTTGGAGCTTCAACGCGCTCGCTACACTTGACGCCGACTCCCTTCGGCCGCCATGAACTACAGTGGAATGCAGCCACATGCACGTTTAATTGCATACAGCAGCGTACTGACCGCAGGCAGAAATCTCGCCCAACAACCGGGCCGGCTGCAAAGTTGTAGCCTGCAAGGATGAAGGCAAGAAGATCATGAAGGGCGAGATCCGCATGGGCACCTGGGTCACCATCCAGGAACATGGCAGTTGGCAATGGAGACACTGGTAGGTCACCACTTTTTTGATAGCCGCAGAGGAGGGAGTACTGACGACCACTTCTTACCAGGGGTTGTGTCTCGGGAGAGCAGGTCGTGAACATGCAGAACGGAATTGGCAAGGACTCTGATGGCGAGTACAGATGGGATGCTATTGACGGCTGGGAGGATCTCGAGTAAGTGTAATCCTCGCCATCGTGTGGGGAAGGGAATGACCATACTGACGACGAGAAGGGATCATCCTGATGTGCGGGAGAAAATTCAGCGCGTCATTACCCAGGGCCATATCGATCCTGAGGACTTTAATGGAGTAAGTAACTCCCAATTTTGCTCTACACCAGGGTGACCGGTTAACATGGAAATTGCAGGATCCCGATATGAACGTACCCGGCCAAAAGGGCATCCACCGGCGCAAGAAGAAGAAGGCCAAGGCCGACGACGAAGAAGACGATGAACCGGAGAAGCCCAAAAAGGCGGCTGCAAAGCGTGGCCGCGCGGAAAAGGCCGCGGACGATGATGAAGAAGCCGACGAACCGGAAAAGCCCAAAAAGGCAGCCACGAAGCGCAGCCGCGCAAAGAAGGCTGAGGCCGACGACGAGGAAGCTGACGAACTGGAGCCCCCCGCGAAGAAAACGAAGCGAGCCACCAAGAAGGAAGCTGAACCTGAATCGACTCCAGAGAAGTCCAAGAAAGCAGCGAAGGGTAAACGTGGAGCCAAGGCTGCTGCGGCTGTTAAAGAGCAGAGTGAGGCTGAGGAGGAACCCGAACCCACCCCGGAACAACCTAAGAAAGCGGCGAAGGGCAAGCGTGCCACCAAAGCCGCTGCGGTTGCCAAGGAGGAGAGCGACGCCGAGGAAGAACCCGAACCGACTTCGGAGAAGCCCAAGAAAGCGGCCAGAGCCAAGCGCGGTTCCAAGGCGGCTGTCAAAGACGAAGTCGACGAAGAGCCGGAGCCGAAGTCTGAGCCGCCTAAGAAGAGAACCGCGCGGGCTAAGAAGGTGAAGCAGCCCTCGCCGGAGCCGGAATCTGAGCCGCAGTCGGAAGCTGACTCTGGGCCAATGTCTGCCCCTGAATCTGAGACCGACGAGGAAGAGGAGGAGGAGGAAGAGTCCGCCCCGGCCAAGAAGCCTCAGAGAGGTCGTAAGGCTACCGCGAAGAAAGCTGCCCCTGCTCCGAAGAAGCGCAGTAGAAAGGCGTGAGTAGGGATGTGCAATGGAATATTTGCGAGTTGGTTGTTAATCGGTTGCAGGGCCGCTTAAGCGATGCGACACAGGGGCTTTGGGGGTGTGGCAACAATCTTTCACCAATGACTACCTACTTTAACTGTGTGCGTTGTACGGCAAGGACGTGATGAGCTGCCTCGCACTTCTTCTCTCTTCGGGTATTCGGCCAACACCTAGTGCGGGAAGGTACTGTACCAACCCCATGTTTCTGGCTTCCCTGGAGAGTTCACTGGTGAAATTTTCTGAGGACGGCGCAGGTGCGGCAACAAGCATCTCTGTATCATATTGCAACATGGGAACGAGTCCGCCAAGAGGGCTTATAATCAATTCGTGTTCCGATTTTCCATCCGTTGGCCTGGCGGCCTATGTGAGCCGGGGCGCGGATGGCTTCCAATGCTACGGCCAGGGCCGAACGGTCGACCTCCAGCGCACCACAGCATGCAGATGAAACGAAACAATAGGGGCGTTCTACAATGTTCTACATAACTCGGCAATCTGGGGGGAGGAGGGTAACAGATGCGTGGCACGGGTTACATTGGCCTAGGCTATGGGCCGGGCCGGCAGTTGCGCCTCTCCCTGCCGCATCCATGTGGGTAGTTGGTTTTGAACATCACCAACAAGGGGATTTGGGCGAGGCACGGGTTCCCAAGCAGCCGAGTTGCCGGCGGATTTGATGCCTTGACCTCCGCGTTCGGACATGTCGCTGGGAGTTGATCGAAAGACAGTAGGGAAAGGTACGGCAAGACTTCGATTCAGGGTGTTCGTCAATCGGGGTGGTTTGCCCAGCCACGGGAGGCCAACCCGCTCACGATGCGATTGGCGACCATTATTTTTTGGGGGTTGGCTTGGTCTGGTTCTCGAAGGGTGGCCACCATGCAATATTGCGTCACTTTCAAGAACTTCCTCCATGGCCTCAACTTGGCCTTTGCAAGCGTGAGATCAAAGTTGCCTCGGGAGCCCTGTTTCAATGAATAGTGAGGCTAGTGTAGATGCCCAACCTAACCGACGAAGTAAAAAAACTGCAGTCCCAAGCAACACGAGATGCAGCCGGCTGCCGCCAGGCTGATGATGATCATGGATGTATGACCGGGACCAGATCTCTTCTCACCCTCTCTACTGGTTCCGCGGAATGTAAAAGCTTGACCGAAAGCAAGCGGAAGAACGCATGCTCAGTGATTGGCCGGTGTGTTTCTCTTCTGTCATGGTTCTCGGTAGCACCCAAGCACCCTCTTGTCAGACTCCCAAATCGTGTGTCTTGGTTGGCGCGTGCAAGAGTGCCTGCGACAAGGCGTCAGTGGCATGACATCCTCCTTCGGGGCCCACTGGACCGCTGAGCAACCATCAGACCTGCTGAGGCGGCCTCGTGTGCGTTTCGACAGCTTGTGTGACACAACGCAAGTCAAATTTTGTGATTGCTGTTGTCTCACCTTCTCGTAAGTTCTTCGGAAGAAATCGAAGTGCTACACATTGACACCCAGGATTGCCCACTCTCTCTCGATATCTTTGCACAATTGTGGAAGGATAAATCACAGTGTATAGACTAAGGTTTACACACTGTATATCACTGCATGCTCCAGCGCTTATGCACAGTGTACAGGGAGGATGCAGCCAACTGTTCGTCTGGTCTCAGCCTGTCAGCATGCACTGACAACTCGGCTGCGGGTGCTCAAGGCAGGCGCGGATCTAGGGCGCAGGGAGTGGCCTGCGACCCCAAAAGCAGCAGCTGTGGGATGACGATGTTGGTTTCGAGCCCAAATTAAATCCCGAACAATTGGCCAGCTACGCCAGACGGCCCCGACCCTGAAACTCGCTGGGCCAACCCAGTTCGTCTCCAATCTCGTGCGGCGAGGAAGGCGGCTCCCGTCTCCATTGCAGTGCCTTCTAGGTTCCTCCTCGAGAATAACTATCGACCAGGCCGGCCAACAGCGCGCCTATCCTTGCGGCCCCTTTCTGTTTTGTGGTCTTCCCAACCAATTCGCAGCTTTTCCATCGCCTTGGCCGCCTTTCTTAATACCGGCCGGGACCCTGCGGCTTCATTCCATCCCACCCACCACCTTTCACAACCCACAGAGAATTTTCGAGTCCTCTCGAGTGACAAGACAACTTCCCAGAAGAGGCTGGTCTGCCAAGGTCCTTGGTCACATTGGCTGCCCCGCCTTGGCTCCCGCCCACGAGTCCCCCTCCAAACCCGACCAACGTCACAGCCCCCCTCCCTCCCTCAGCCGGCTTGAACTAGTACTTTTCACCACCACCACTACTAGCCGCCGGTTTTTCGACCCGCACGAAAATCTCGATATTTTCACAGCTTAAACACGCTCGAAACACCGGGCTACGACCGTTGTTTGCCGGTTTATCTGGCCGTTCATCCCTTCTTGCCCGACAGCCTTGCTCCCCCGCTCTCTGCCAGGTTAACCGTTGTACCTGCCCCACCTGATCGCCGGTCGGCCACAACTTGAACCACCAAGAAACAGAAACAACACACGCTGTAGCAATCATCAGCCATGTCGAGAAGCCGAGTCGACTTCGACGAGCGGGAGTTTAGAGAGCCCATGCGTCGCACCGTTGTCCGGGACTATGACGATGTGGAAATCCGTCGCGAGCGTGAGCGGGTGAATGACCGCATCCCTGCCTTTATGCGCGAGGAGAACAGGCGGGTCGAGCCGGGCCAGATGGTGCTCAGGCAAAGAGAGATTGAGACGGTTGAGCGACCCCGTCAGAGGTCACCCAGCCCGGCCGGGACCCGTATCACACAGCGCGTAGTCCACCGGACCAGGAGCGTCAGCCCCCCGCCGAGGAGACTTGAAGAGGATATCCACTTCCGCCGCGTCGCCCGGGAACCCAGCCGTGGCCCTGGCGAGAGGATCCGCTTCGTCCCGTCAAGGTCATCCTCGCCAGATACCGAAGTGCGGGAGCGAATTCGGATTACTGAGCGGGAAAAGGAGCGTGCTCCGAGCCCAGCCCCGCGCCCGCCGACCCCCAAGGTCATCAAGGGGCCGACAGTGGAGAGAGAGGTGATTACGCACTACCGGGATATCGACCACGGTGAGTTTACCCCCATCATGGTATCGTTGTGGATTAAGTGCTAACTCCTCACAGGCGTTGTGGCAGTCCGTCCCCCGTCGCCCCCGCCCCCGCCGGTCCGTCACCGCGACACTGAGATCGACATCTACACCTCGCGGGGCCAGACAGATATTGATATCCACAAGCACTCTCACACTCACAGCCGCGGTCGGTCCATCTCTCGGGAGCGGCCGTCACGGCGCGCCGCCCAGACCTGGGAGGACGATGTCACCGTTCATGCCGACCGCAAACACCTGCACGTCGACATCGAGCGCCGACGGAGCGTATCCAGGACCCGACGTGCCCAGTCCGCAGCTCCCCCGACCATCGACTACGGCGATGAGGAGTACGAGATCACGAACAAGCTGGACTCGCGCGGCAAGATGGGCGAGGCCTGGAACGGCATCACCAAGGACTGGGCCATCATCGACGTGCCGCCCGGAACAGAGCGCGTGCGCATGGACGGTGCCGGCGGTGCCTCGGCTGAGGTGACGTGGCAAAAGTACAGCGGCGTGCGCCGCGCCAAGTTTATCCCCGAGCGCGAGGACAAGGGCTCCGCTGTGTCGTCGACCACCAGCTTCACAGAGCTGCGCGCTCCGGAGCGCGAGAGGCGCCTGAGCGTGCACGTTGTCGACAAGGACCGTGGTGTAAGCAGAGAGCGCGACGTCGAGGTTGAGAAGGTGACGGACCGCCGCATCACCGTCCGTGGCTCGACGCCTCCGGCTCGCCGCCCGGAGACCTGGACTGAGATCACCAAGGACCTGGTCTGCCGCGAGGCGATCCAGGACCTCAAATACGAATTTGAGGAGACCGAGTACTTCTACTACATCGTCGAGTACCTATCCTACGTAAGCCCCTCCATTCCCATTCATCCAAAACAAGCCAACACCTGCTAACCCTCATCACAGGAGGACGTCCTCCAGCTCGTGAAAGTTTCGGACCGCATCCGCGCGGCGCGCAAGGAGCGCGCGCGCGAGATCGCCTACGAGCGCGACTGGCGCGAGAACTACGACCACCGCGACAACACCCACCACCACGGCCACCGCTAACTCGGTCGACTACGAGAACGAGCGCGTCGTCGAGCGCGAGGCCACTACGAGAGCCGCCACCCGGGCAGGGGGTATCGCCACTGATTTTTACTCTCTCCCTCTCTACTGACTCCCTAAGTGGGAGGCAACAACTTCTGATGACGTGATGACGTGAATACGAAGCGAGCGAGCGAGCGAACCGTATTCCATCGGATGACTCTTTAGACTGGGCTTGGGTGGGGTGGTGATGGAGGGGGGGGGGCATGGGTTGACTGACCTGACTGACTGATGATGACTGATGGATCTCTTTGCTTTTTTTGGCATTTGCTCTTGGTTTTGTTGTTTTGGCATCTGTTTTTTGCTGTTTTGCTTTCTCTAATGAGCCCAGGGCAGTGGAATTGGTGGGGAGGGAAAGGGGTGGTTGGATATTCTCTCTGCCTCCCTCCCGGTTCTGCTGTCGCAGCCTTACTGTACTGGCATGTTCATGTTCTCCTAACGACACTGATGACCTACAAAAGAAAAGATGTTTTTGGTTTTTTTGAAGTGGATTGTTTTTGTGCTGGGGGAGGTGTGGGAGAGGTGGGATATGTACGTGTTGGATGGGTCGATGAATGTTTTTTTTTTTTCTTCTCGGTTTGCTTTCTTTCTTTGGCTATTTAGACTCTTGTACTGCGAGGCACATACCTTGTTCTTAGCTAGGCATGTAGTTATGATGATTACGATTAGACCGCCGTTGGTTGTTTATTTGTTGCGCTGTGATGTTGCAGCACTCGCTTGCGTTCGGACTGGAGATGGTTTCCCTTGGCAGTAATTGTGGTTTTGGGTCACCTCTCTACCAGTTGGTTCATTTGCGTTGACTTCAATCCCCTTGATAACTCCGTGTTCTCATGTATGTACTTGAGGAATTTTGGAGTTTCAAGGTATTTCTCGCTTCTTTTGATTAAAGCTACTCGCTCAGAGTTCACCAACTACTTGACATACCTCGATGAGGATATCTACAAACACTATTCAACCACAAACACCCCGAGCTTCCCCAGCAGCAGACTCCTCACTCATTCCCAGGGCCGTTACTCAACACCTGCTTCGTCACCGCGCCAACAGCATCCATAGTCCCAGGCCACCTCCACTCCATATGCACCTTCCTGCGCTCCGGGCCATCATCCCCCTTGCGCCCTTCCCCCTTACCCTCACCCTCATTATCACCCCCACCCACACCCTCACCCACACCCCCGTCTTCCATCCCCTCTTTTTTAATATCCATCTCGTTACCAATCTCAGTCGGCAAGACCCCGCCGCCACCCCCGCCCCCTTCCACTTCCACTTCCACATAGTCTCCCTCTACGGTGAGCTCCAACCGCCCCGTCGCCGCGTCCCGCTCCAGCCCGAAATGCACCCCGTAATCCCCGCCCGTGGCCAGGTCGACGATGCCATTGCCCTGGGGATGCATGCCCCACAGCGCCTCCGCGTCTTGGGACTGGGTTTGGTCCTGGCTCTGGACCTGCTCGTCCAGAGTGGGAGAAGACTGCTGCTGCTGCTGTTGTTGTTGCTGCTGTGTGATGGCGAGCTCGTAATAAGCAGCTGCCAGCGCGCAGGGAACGGCGGCGTAGAGGTAGGCGAGGAGCTTGGCCGGGTCGGTGTAGTCCTCGGGGGAGGTGGGGCAGACGGCGGGGAGGGGGTTGGCGGGCGAGTTGGGCGGCTGCTGCTGCTGGAGGGGCGGGAGGAAGGAGACGGCGTAGGCGGCGCCCGAGAGCAAGGTCGGGCGGAGCAGGATGCGCAGGCGCGAGGCCGGCGTGATGGTCAGGTCGAACTGCACCGTGGGCGGCTTGAGAAGGAGGGTTGCGAGGGATGTTGACGCCGGGGTTGTGTTGTCTAGGAAGGGCCGCAGCGGGGCTTCTTTCATGGTTATAGAGGAGGCGACGCCGGCGGAGCGAAGGACGGAGATCAGGGCGGTGAGGGATTCGGCGCATTGCTGGACGGATTGGCCGTACTTGTGGTAGGTGATAAGGGGCCTGAGGAGAAAGTAGGGGGGGATGGAGCCCTTCTTGGCGCTGGGTTCGGACCGTTTCAGGTCGTTGGCTCGGTGTGCATTGGTAAGTAGGAGGCCTAGGATGGTGCACAACTCGTTCGCAAAAGCGTCTTGGGCTGCGGAGCGTTGTGTTGTTGCTTCTTCCTCGTTACCGAGAGTTACAAGTTGGAGAGCGATGGTCGTTGTGTTATCCAAGTTGTAGGTAGCCGTCGAATCCGCGACGGTGGCAAGGCCATCCAGCTGATCGCGGGCTTCGCGGTTTATCTCGTGCCACAGCTCCTGCGCAAAAACTGTCTCTCGCGATTCCTTGACGCGGTCCTCGAGCGGAGCATCAGGAGGTATGGGCTGTGGCAACGAAGACCTGCCGACAACGACACCGTTCTCGAGTATCTTAACCTGGAGGCGCTTCGACCCACCATCCATGGCCCCATGTTCCAGTTTGACAGATCCGTCTTCTGCTCTTCTCAAAGGGGCGATACCGCTATTCTTAAACTCTGGGCCGGTGTTGGAGAACCCGAACTTGACCCCCAGAGTTTGGGGTTCATGAGGCAATCGGAAGGTCTGCCATCCAGCATCGCCCACGCCTAAGACCTCGGACCAGTACTTTGTTTCTAAGGTAATCTCCCGCTGGAGTCTTTTAGATGTTGCTAAAGCGGTATCCGCAGCCTTGTTTAGGTCCATCAGGCGCTTTCCGATGGCCACCATCTTGTGATCAGACACCCTGCTCTGGGTCATGGGCGTGGGAGCGTCGAGCATCGTGGCGCCGAGGGTGCCAATGCCGACCAGGTCTCGCAGGCCAGGGCTGAGAGTGGTGACAGCCAAGCCGGGATTCTCCTTTGACAGGAGAAGCGAAATGAAGTCGAGGGCAAACATGGACGTTTGATGAGTTTGGTGTATCGCGCGGAGAATCTCATCGCGGGCAACGGCAATGCTTTTGATCTCGGGGCTGTCGCTTTCGTCCTCGGAGACGTCGCCGGTCATGTCGACATCGTTGTCGCCGTCGGTTCCATTCTGGCTGGCCTCGATTTCCCGGCGTAGCTCGGCCGAGTTAACGGCGCGGAATCCGCCTGGTTCGGCATTGAGTCGCTGTATGAACTCGTTAATAGATTGCGGTCCTTGTTGTGGCGCAGAGCGCGGCTGTAACGAGAAGGGTCGGTTGTTCATGGTGTCCTTCTCGGGCAATGAATTGGTGATGATAGAGCTACGAGCGAAGTCGCAAATCCCACCTCGGGACCCCTGTTGCTATATCGCCAAGCTCTGAGCTGCAGGTGAACTGGGTAAAGCCGTAATGTACGGGCTTGGCGGCTTGACAACATACCAGCCGATTATATACAATACGTTGCTTCTACTGCTTAGGCCCTCTCGTCTGATCCCTTTTTTTCACAAAAGCTTCGATGGCGCTCGCCATGTGAAACGTTCTCGTCTCTCCACGAATAACGCTTGGTGGCGTCTTAAATCCAGGGGTTCCTCTTGAGACGGCTTGGTCTTGTGAGAACCTACCAACCGTAAAAGCCTTCTGTATGTTACAAGTGGGTCAGGTCACGCACTTACACAGTAAGGCATCTGCACAAGTCTCGAAGGCATGACCACAATCCAGCTTCAAGAATTGCGAATGCGAAGCTTCCCAGCTGGGTTTATCGATGTCCCTTTGCTGTGTGAGACGCCATCGTTGATGAAAAGGAAGCATCTCGTGGCGATGAAAAAGCAATTTGCAGCACTCGTGAACAAAATGGAAATTGTTGGGCAAATAAAGGGAATAAAGAGCTTGCCTAGGACAGAACTGGCGATAGATTAAGCGGGAACGAGTCAGTGGTATTACTTGAACGGTTAGTTTCGGTGGCCAAATTAGGTGATGATGTATATATATTGGCAGTGCACCGGTGGTGTCCCCAAGGATGTCAGTAGCATCATTCCAGCCAGTTATATCCATCGGTTTTTGCCGACTATTTTCTCGTGCCGCCATGTTAAACATCCCAATGTTCTCACTTGCTCAGAGAAGGGCTGATGACTGGGGGCAACATGCGTTTTACGAACCAAACTCAGAGGCATATACATGCATCGAATCCGCACTCGACATTGGGCTCAAAATATTAGAGCAGGGCCGTGGCAAAGAAGTGCTAACCGATATTGCTTTGCAATTCGACGATTCTACCTCAAACTCGACCCGTTTTGGGGGGGATAAAACAACAGCACGTCGGTGGACGGGTTGGTTTGTGGATCAACTTCGGCCACAAACCCCGAGGAAGATACTAGATGAGACCCTGGGACATCGAGACGCTATGGCATATCATCCTAGAGGGCCTTGGGATGGCAACCTTAAGAATTCCCCTTTTACCAGCAAAGTATCTATCTCAATGCACAGGTGCGCATTGATCAACCCATTTCCTGACCCCCGGCCTTAGTGTACTGACAATAGATGTACATGAAGAGGGCAGAGCACATGTTCGCGGCCAGAAGGAGCATCCATTCTGAAGCGGGACAACAGTATCGAGATTGTCAGTTCGCATTTGTAACCACTATCGTGCACGAACTCGGGAACATTTTGATTACTTGGCTTGGCCAAGGCCGTATCGACGCACCAGGCGGCCGCTCTCTCGAGATGCGCCTCTTTGGCGGAGTAACCGAATTTTGGCGAGACCATAACAGGGGCGACGACCAGGCAAGCCCCACGAACTGTCCCCATTGCGCTTCTCTGCCTATCTAACCACAGACATGATACATCCGTAGGTCGGCGAACCTTATCATATCGACGAGAATGGCTGGGCCTGGAGGATTAGCCCCAACGTTACTGACGACATCTACACGTACAGTACGTTTTAACTGGGTTCTGGTTTTACCAGGGTTCTGGTTCTACCTGGGTTCTGATGTCATAATTTGAGAGTTGAGAGTTGAGATAATCTGCTGACCTCCACCTTACTGTCAGACTTCAATTTCCCATTCGCAAGGACCAATGAAGCTCCTGTGAATACAGATGGCAAGCAGACGATGAACAGTAGAGCTACCTACTTAGGTATTAGTTAGTTTCGCGATCGTATCGTTGATGGGCAGCCTGGAGCCGTGCTATTAACGCTCAGGATTGTTATGGTAGGGAAACGCCAAACAACAGCGCACATACATCGCGAGGAACATAATTGGCTGGCAGCGGCTTCTTCCTTCTGGGGGCAAGACAGTATCTAAGCCGAAATCAAACTTTACACAAACTACAATGCCGTTAGCAAGCCTTCTCGTCAATGTGATTGGCAAATCCTACCAGCTCCATCAGCAACTGGGAGTGCCTCAGTGAATATGGTAACCAGCTCCAATGAACTGTGTGAGGTGGGGGAGAGCGGGACTGGATGCAACGCAACTTCAAGACCCCCATTCTCCGGGCAGGCGAGTACCAGGGTGGAGCACTGACCGCAGAATTTGTACACACTCCGACTTAGGGTCTTCCACAGAGAACATTGCCCTGCGACAAACAGGTATGACGCGAGTAATCAGCAAATCCAGGTAAAACAAGCTACCTAGATATTATGCAAACTTTCAAACAGATATGCTTAAAAAAGGTAAAGTATACACTAGTGTACGAATAGGAGCAGGGACCCTCATATCATATCGGACGTTATGGACCCTTCGGCAGATGCGAAATCGGTATCCATGTCGGACGATCATTGATTTTTGTACCGCTTGGTAAGGTAAACATGATAATCCTAGGTAGGTACCCAGGCTTGATCTTACCATCTCTGCTCTGCACCGACCTTCCAATGAGCTAGCTACATCTTAGGGAGTTTTTCAATTCATCGTCTTCCATGTTGTTAGTTCTTGTTGATTGCTGCCCGTGGAAATAAAAGCAAGCATGTTGACGAACTTGACATATTCGGTCGTCATCAAGCTTTGGGGGCTTCGAAAGAGCCTCATCCTTGCTCTGCACCCCACCTGTCCACGCGGTTACATAAGGAGCTATGTCATTGCGGTGATACTGGGTCCGTAAAACCCCTCAGTGACAGCGTTCAGAACCCCACTACGGAGCAGTTCACCTAGGTCTTTTCACAATTTTTTTAAGCCACCCAACAAAACACATGGCTAAGACGGCCAATTGCAGATATGCCACGCTCGGTGTAATCAATATTTGGCCGATTTGGCCGTCCTCGGAATAGCCAAGCAAGCCGTGGCCAAAACATGCTGTCTCGGATTCCTGCGGTCTCGGAATGTGCCCCGCGCTAACTCACGATAAGATAAGAGCTCTTGCACCACCTGCAAGAGAGAGGCCCAGGAAGTCCGGACCGCCGTGCTGTGTTGCTTTTCATGACCTCGTACGATCTTTAAACATCCCGATTCTGCAACAACAAGGGGCACTGAGCTCAAAAGGAAGAGAAGTGTAACTTACTGCCCATTTCAAGTGTTTTCTCCACTGCTCGACCTAGGATTTGCGATCCCAGGCAAACCGCCTGGAGCATGCCCATACCCAGCATTAAGTTCCCTCTTCGGCCCTTCTCCATCATTTCGTCTCCATTCAGGGCCTTCCTTGCTTTTGTTCTTTTCTCGATCCCCATCGCCGTTCTCTTCCGCAACCCCCAAAGGCTCACATACCGCCCAACTTCCACTTCACAAACACCGCCCGCAACGACCAAAATGGCGGGCAAAAAGAAGATTGCGATTATGACGTCGGGTGGTGACTCGCCCGGCATGAACGGTGTCGTGCGTGCCTGTGTCCGCATGGCCATCCATATGGGCTGCGAGGCCTATTGCGTCTACGAGGGCTACGAAGGTCTTGTTCGTGGAGGCAACTTCATTCGCAGGATGCAATGGCTCGATGTGCGTGGGTGGCTGTCTGAGGGCGGCACGTTGATCGGCACCGCCCGCTGTATGGCCTTCTTCGAACGCGCGGGCCGTCTCGCTGCTGCAAAGAACCTGGTCGCCGAGGGCATCGATGCGCTCATCATTTGCGGCGGAGACGGTTCGCTTACAGGAGCTGATAGATTTCGCGCCGAATGGCCTTCGCTGATCCAGGAACTCGAGGACACCGGCGTGTACACGGCCCTACAACTCCAGCCCTACCGACACCTGAACATCGTCGGCTTGGTCGGGTCTATCGACAATGACCTCTCCGGGACAGACGCCACCATCGGCTGTTACTCGGCCCTCGCGCGGGTCTGCTACGCCGTCGATCTCATCGAAGCCACCGCCTCGTCGCATTCTCGAGCATTCGTCGTCGAGGTTATGGGGAGACATTGCGGGTGGTTGGCATTGATGGCTGGTGTTGCGACTGGCGCAGATTTCATCTTCATCCCGGAGAAGCCTAGGGAGGATAACTGGCGAGAAGAAATGTGTGGAGTTGTCGAACATGTTCGTGATTCCCTCCTCAGCCCACTCACGGGGTCAGGGCAGCAAAAGCTAACAGAGGGCAACAGCACCGGAAACTCGGAAGGCGCAAGACCATTGTCATCATCGCCGAGGGTGCTCTCGATAGGGAGGGCAACAAGATCACTTCTGAGATGGTGAAGGATCTGCTTGCCGACAAGAAGGGCCTCGGCCTCGATACCCGCATCACAACTCTCGGCCATGTTCAGCGTGGCGGAACCGCCGTCGCGTACGACCGGATGCTCGCGACCCTGCAGGGTGTGGAAGCCGTCAAGGCTGTCCTAGAAGCTACACCAGAGACACCCACATGCGTCATTACTATCAACGAGAACAAGATCGTCAGGAAGGGGCTCATTGAGGCCGTACAGGAAACCAAGATGGTGGCTAAGGCGATAGAGAACCAGGACTTTGATCGCGCCATGGGGCTACGCGACACCGAGTTCTCAGAACAGTACAGGTCTTTCATGATGACAACAGCAGTCCAGGTGAACAAGAAAATGCAGGTCCCTGAAAAAGACGTAGGTGTTGGAACCTCCACCCCCTTGGCCGCCTAATACTGACCTCATGTTGAAGCGCATGAAAATCGGGTTCATCAATGTCGGCGCTCCCGCCGGCGGCATGAACGCCGCAGTTCGTGCCGGTGTGGCGTACTGCTTGTCCCGGGGTCACGAGCCGATTGCCATCTACAACGGATTTGCTGGGTTTGCCCGGCATCACGGAGACTCCCCTCTCGGCGCTGTCCGCCCTTTCGACTGGCTCGAAGTCGACGGCTGGGCGAGCAAAGGCGGTTCGGAGATAGGTACAAACCGCGAGCTCCCCAGCGAGTCTGGCATGGAGACCATCGCCGATCTGATCGAGCAGTACAAATTTGATGCACTGTTCCTCATCGGCGGCTTCGAGGCCTTCCACGCCGTTTGCCAGCTGCGGAAGGCCAGGGAACAGTTTCCTTCCCTCTGCATCCCCATCACGCTCCTCCCCGCAACCATCTCCAACAACGTGCCCGGCACCGAGTATTCGCTCGGCTCAGATACATGCCTCAACGAGCTGGTCGAGTATTGCGACAAAATCAAGCAGTCGGCGTCGGCCACGCGCCGCCGTGTCTTCGTCATCGAGACCCAGGGCGGCCGCTCCGGCTATGTCGCTACGCTTGGGGGTCTGGGCGTTGGCGCCACCGCCGTGTACACGCCCGAGGAGGGCGTCAGCCTGGAGATGCTCGCGGCCGACGTGCGCCACCTCAAGAAGGTCTTTGCTCAAGACCAGGGCCAGTCCCGCGCAGGTCGTCTTATCCTTATCAACGAGAAGGCCTCCAAGGTGTACAACGCCCGCCTCATCGCCGAGATCCTCCGCGAGGAAGCCCACGGCCGATTCGAGAGCCGTGAGGGCATCCCGGGCCACATGCAGCAGGGCGGCGTTCCCTCGCCCATGGACCGTTGCCGCGCCGTCCGCCTGGCCATCCCGCTGCATCCAGCAACTTGAAGCAGTTCGGCCGCAACGTGCACAACAAGGGTCAAAAATGACCCCATGAGCGCCACCGTGATCGGCATCAAGGGGCGCTAGGCGTCGTCTTCACTCCGGTAGCCAAGGTCGAGGAGGAGAAAACCGACTGCCCCACCCGTCGCCCCAAGGCTGAGTTCTGGTTGGAAATGAAGGACATTGGCGATATCCTGCCCGGCCGGCCCAAGTACGTCCCGCGGGAATCCGACCTGACGGGGATCAAGCCCAAGGATGTGAAGAGGGGTATCGAGGGTTTTTAAAAGGAGATTTGATTTTTATTTTATTTTTTGCTTTCTCCCTTTGGGAATAGGAGGTGGGGGGGGGGGGGGGGTGTTGAATGAATGGATGGATCCTTTCTTCGTCACTCCACATAGAGATGATGTGTTGTTGTCACGTTGGGAATAGCGTATGTGGGTGTGACAGTCGCTTTTGCTGGAGTTGTTGCTCACCTGGTCTTACCCGCCTTGTGCATCCTATGTTGTTGCCTAGAAGGAAAGGGAGGGGATATTCGTGACGGGGAAAAAGGAATGTGAGGCACAGACAGACATATTCTCTCGATATTCGTCGCATTTGTTTCCACAGACGAACCACCCTTTCTCTCTGTCTTTCTCCCCTGCAATGTTGCTCTCAAGACAGCGGTGGGTTTGTGGAGAACGCCCCTCCCGTGCACATGGGAAAAAAAACACCTGAGACACGAATTGGAATCATGCATTTCCGCTTGCGGGATGTCACGTCAATCATCGCCTCGTACAGATAGATACAATTTAATCAATTGTTGAGACGACTTGACGACTTAAGAGCAGGGTGGTCCCCCCGCACCGATCGCATCGCGACCTGACCAGTCCCGCGCTGGGGTTTTGGTGTGTGGCGCCTGCTTTTGTCGATAAGTTAACGAGCCACGAGCCCTTCTTTCACTTTTGGGACGCCGAGAAAAAGATCAGAGCTGGATTTTTTGGCATGCTGGTCGCCCGAAGGCTGAAAGCTCGAGAGATTCTGCACTTCCGATTCGCTTTCGCCGACCAGCATGCGAAGTTGGGGTGGAGAGTGGTGCTCAGTAAGCGTAGCGACTTGGCGTGGTGTTGGCGGAGTGCGGAGGGGGGATGCCTGCCGTGCTGTGCTTTTGTCGTGCCACCCGGGCTGCCCGCTTGTTGTGAGGGTTGGGGTGTTAGTGTGGTAACGGATGGTGCTCGCTTAGCGCTGCGGAGTTGTTGTGGACTGTGTAGGGGTTGTTAGTGTGCTATGGGGAGGCTTGCTGGGCTGGGTGGGAAAAGGCGGGATTGTGCTTGCTCGATTGTGGACAAGTACCTCGAGGGCCGCGAGTGGCTGGCCGGGGGATAAGGCATTCATTCGCTTGGGCTGGTCTGTGTTTGTTCAATGGGGAAGTTTTGTTACTCGGTGTCTGGGTATTCTTTTTTTCTCTCTCTTCACCTCTCCTCTCTTGGAATTATTTTTCATGGTGTTTACTGATCCACCTGGGATTAAGGATCATGAAGGCTTGGAGTGGAGCTTGGCTCAACGGTTTTACGAGTTGGAGTTACTCAGCGAGTGAGAGGATCACGCACTTGCCTCGAGTTAACTGTGTAAAAATTTCAGTGTATCTTTTGTCCATGACAGCAATGAGCAAAGCGGTGTCACTGTTTAAACCTCCAAAATCCGCCGGTGAAACAGGATGTGCCCCCTCTTCGGTAGCTCGGCCCCGAGGCGGGAGCCCCGTAGATCTGCACCGGGCAGGCCCGAGTTGCACCGCTGCAACCAAGAGCTTGGATCAACAGAAGGCTTCTCAGCCGTCCACATGGCTGCCCCTGTCAGCGGAAAATGGACGGCTAGATCCACACAACGGCCACTATCAAGCAGCTAAAATGAGAAGGTGCGATGAGAAAAGCTACCGCTTCGGGTCTAGAAGGTTAGGCCCCGAAATTTGCTGGCTATCGGCAGCGGCGCCTGTCAGCTTTGGTGGCCGTCGTACTGAGTGCCATTGGCATTGGCGGCGGTAGCATCGCCGAGGAGGGACTCCTGTTGAATTGCACTTTCCCCGATCGAACCCGGCGCTTTCCCGCCCAGTCTGCCGGTGTCTCCTTCAAGTTCTTCCCCGCGCGCGCCTTGGAGTTGGCTCGTGTCACCCTTCGTTTTCCATTTTCCCTCTCTCTCTCTCCTTGTCGATCTCGAGATCTTGCGATCTTTGAATGCGTGGGTAGCCTCGAGGTTCACTCCTCGGCAACAACATACCACGGCCGAATCCATATTTTTCTCTCAGTTTATAGCCACCCCGCTCTATTTTTGCGCCGGGCAGCTTCGACCGAAATCGGCGCCGTGATCAGCTGTACATACATACCTACGCTACACGGGTCTCGCCTCGGGCGTTGTCAGAAGATCTGCCAGGAACACATTGGACTCGGCGTGCTTCTCTTGCGCTGGTGGGCTGAGGTGTGTGGTCGGTGCTAATGGCGCCTCTACTATCAACGCTGCTTCTCTTGGGGGCCGCCGCCTCTCCGGCACGGGCATCGATTGCGGCTTGGTGGACCGAGGTCGGGCCCCAAATCATTCTGCAGAATACGACCACGAACCAGATCCGCTACAGCGCTTGCAACAGCCGTGGCCAGGCCAAGTACTCGTACACTGACGCTAGTGTATTCTCACTCAAGTACAAACCCAAGGTCGGCACCCCGGTGACAGGGGTAGGATGGTACAACAAGAAGGAGACCGAGTAGGTTCTCATTCTTCACCTCCAGCCGCCTCTTACTGACGAGTATGCCAGGGCCTCGATCTGGTATATCACTGAACAAAACACGGTTGCTAACGGCCTCTTCATCTGCAATGACAACACCGGCCGGTTTGAGCCGCAGGAAGAAGGAAACTGGGTCATCAGCCCTGATACGGCTACAATCCACTCTAACACGGGGCTCGCTTCCGTTGTTCTTGGCCAGGATACCGGCTATCGCGTATACTACCACGACAGCGACGGCGCCATCAATGAACTTCACTACACACGCGATACCGGCTGGGAACACCGGGGTATCATTTCCCAGGACATAAATTCCCTACCTGGGCTGGGCGTAGCCTTTAGTGGCAAGGGGAATATCACCGTTGCCGCACCTCGCGATGACCAGAACATCGCCGTGACTCGGTGGAATAGTGATGAGACCTGGTTCCGAAGTACGATCTTCTTGCGTGCCTGTGACCTGCCAATTACGCTGCTAACATGTTTCAACAGCAACCCTGCCGCGCCCGTTGGATGGCGGCTTCGTGAACGGCGAGACCATCAGAGCCGATATCGCTCTGAATGAGACGGCCGAGACAAACTTTACACTCCAGGCATGGGACGGCAAGACCAAAAACATTGGAGTCAGCATCGACAACGCCTATACACGTTCCTTATGGTACATCGGAAATGATCGCAATCTGTATACCGTGGCCAACCAGAACTATACCTGGAACAAACGAGCCAGCCAATCCAATGCTTACTGGCCGCAGGCCGACGAGCCGAACGCCGAGCTCGCCGTTGCCTACGAATTCAAGTCCAGTATGGTGCGGCTCTACTACACGGTGAACGGACAGATCAGCGAGATCACGTACGAGGACAAGACTTGGAAGGCCTGGTCCGCCCTCGAAGCTCCCCCGCCCCCTCAGGCCACACAGTCCACGACACCGTCCGCCACAAACACAGCAGTTGCATCGGATACTGGGCTCTCCACCGGCGCAAAGGCGGGCATCGGGGTTGGCGTCTCGCTTGGCGTCATCGCCCTCGGCGCCATCATTGCCGTTGTCGTTCTTGCGCGGAAAAGGAAGCAGCAGGCTTTGCTGCAGCACCCAGAGGATGCTGATGAGGGTTCTACTACCATCGGCGGCGACACACCCGCGCCGTCCTACGGCTCACCGGCCCTTGCCCGTGCTTCCGCCGCGCAATATGAGCAGTATGGATGGGACCAGAAGGAGGCGCCGACCCACCCATAACCGCCACCTGAGGTGCAGCAGATGCAGCAGCTTGACGGCACAACAAGGGTGGAAATGGATAACCACATGAGGGCCGAGATGGACAAAACAATGACGGCCGAAATGGATGCTGTGACCAGGGCCGAGATGTACGCACCGCACCCTATCTACGAGCTCCCCCAGCAGTCTTATTCCCACGAATTGCTGGCCGAACCACCTCACCACAGGCCCGGGCCACCTCCACAGGGGCAATGAGTTGTATAGTCTCCAAGAGTCGGGGAGGGGAATGGGAGGCGGCGTTGGGGAGGCGGGGGGTCATGGTTCATTTTGGGATTTAATCGGGAAAGTGTGCTGGATACCCAGACCAACGAATGAGTGTTGATCTTCGTGGTCTTTTTTTGACTATTCTTGCCTATTGTCTATCTATCGATTTTACCTCCTTGAAAAGCCGTTAGAACTCAAAGATAATTCGTCAAATCAGCCTTGTTAGATATCAATTCATAATCTGCACGCGGATGCGAATCTGGGATGATATAGTCTTGAGCATCGGGTTCCTGAGCTACGATGATGACGTTGCGTATGTGGCCACGACATGTTGCGAATCAACCAACAAGTGACACACCTCGTACATCGAACAGTTAAATTATTTCGACACGTAGTAGCTATGGATAGTATATGGTGCTGTTGAGTAATCATGTACCATTCGTTAGGGGTAAAGCGAACACGAGACTCAGCGCTGCCACTTGCAATTTTGATAATAAGAGAGGGTATATTTTGACTGTAGGTCTCAGCTCTTTCGACTGCGGTACCTGCTCCTCGCCCCACTTTCCAAGGCGGTCAGCCCCGGTCGCATCGGTCGGTCGCAACGCAAACCGACGTTCAATTGAATGAGATCGTTTTAATTGCTCGAAGAGGCCAGAATTGATCGAATTAACTGCCCTCCGGTCTGGCTAACTACGTAGCTATCTTAGTTAGTAGTTCCTATCGATAGCGCTTACTTGGGGCAATTGATTCCGGCTGTTGGCGATCGTGATCGCTGGCGCGGAGATGACGGCGATAGTTTGGCTTGGTTGGGTGGAAAAGGCAGATGTCGGTTGGGCCGGCAGAATTCATGCTGGGTGGGCCGGTGCAGCGGGTGGCAGAAAGCTGGATGTACCTTTTTTACCCTGGGTTAGGGTTATATATGGGAGTTACAGTCGAAAGAACCCAACCCTACAGTCGAAATATACCCTCTCAATAACAAAGACATGTAGTATATATATTATGCCATCCCAAACCGAAACCCGTGTTCTCAAAGCGATGTCATGTCGTCGTAACTTCATCAATATGGCATCCACTGCGGGTACCAAGCAAATATGCAATATACATGTAGGACACAGTCCATTATTCCCACCGAGGTCTTTCCGCCCTTGGGTATCATCACCCCGTCACAAGCTCCCGGTTCTGCCGTCCTCGTCCCAGGCAAAAAGTCTAGCCATATCCTCATGACCGCGAGGTCTCCATTCTCCGAGATAGTGGGAAGCAAGATGTAGCAATGAGCAAGACATTACTTGAACAGCAAAAAGGGAAAGAGAAAAAAAGCAAAAAAAGAGAACCCATCGAACAAAAATAGTAAAAGACAGCGCATTCCATAGCCATGCTACGGTAGCAGTAGCAATTCCTCCAAGTAATAAATCAACTCACTCGCGGAAGGGAGTATCGCCCCTTCACCGCCTGGCGGGGCCGACACCAAACAAGTACGCCAACTCGCGCTCACTCAACCTACCTACATTCTTGCTCTGGCCCTCGTCCAGAGCAGCCTCCACCAGCTTCCGCTTGTTATTCTGCAGGGCCAGGATGCGGTCTTCGACCGTCTCCTTGACGAGGATGCGATGCACCTTGACCTCGCGCTGTTGGCCGATGCGGTGGGCGCGGTCGACGGCCTGTGCCTCGATAAACGGGTTCCAGAACGGATCGCAGATGATGATGCGGCTGGCGACGGTCAGGTTCAGGCCGGCGTTGCCAGCGCGCAGCGAGACGAGCATGACGGTGTTGCGCGGGTTCTCGATAAAGTCCTGGACAGCCTCGTCGCGCTGGTTGCGCGACATCTTGCCTGTGTAGCGGCAGTAGCGGAGGTTGAGCTTGTCCTTGATCTGACACTCGATCATGTCGAGAAGGGTGGTCCATTGGGAGAAGATAATGGTCTTTTCGCCCGTCTCCTGGATCTCCTTGAGGAGGTCGATGACCCGTGTGACTTTGGCCGAGTCCTCCCAGTTATCACGAAGGTAACGCATGTACCGACGGCGGGCCTCCTTGTTCCTATCCGCGTCGTTGCGAAGCTGTTTGAGCATGTGGGGCTTGATCTCTTCGGCCTTAGTCTTGCCCTCCCTCTTGCTCTTTTTCTTGTTTTTGGTCAGCTTTTTGGCCGCTTTGGAATCCTTCGCTCCCTCGGCCTGTCCGGCCCGTTTTGTCTTCAAAGACTTGGCCACAGCGTCCAATTCATTGTCTGTGTCAACGTTCTCGTTGTTGGCATCATCACCCTCGCTATCCGGAACAACGAAACCTGCAAGGTTCCCAAACGGGTCCACGTCGGGCTCATCTTCGCTGCCGGATATAAAGCCATCCGAATCCGAGTCAGAGTCCGAATCCGAGTCCGAAATGGCGGGAAGCTTGTCAGCGGCAGCATCACCTGGTGGAAGAGCTTCGGGCGCATGCACCTTCCGGAAGGCGGTAAGGGTGATGACCTTCTTCGGATCAACCGGTCCACGACAGACGGGGCATTTGGCTGCCCGGTTCTCGTCGCCTAGCCTGATGTTGTCCTGCGCCGTGTTCTCCGTAAGCGAGGTAAAACACTCGGTACAAGTATCGTGGCCGCACGGAACGGCGAGGAGCGGATCAGGGACACCATCATAACAGATAGGGCATTCAAACGCCTCAATGGCCTTGATGCGCTCAATCACTGAGGTATCTAATTCCCGGGCTAGAGCTACCATATCGACATCCGAAATGGCGGCACCAGTGACCTCGAAATCCGTCAGGTGAGGATGACAACAAGCCTGACGGAGGCGTAGGAGAAGAACAAGAATGTTGGAGTAGTTCTTGCCAACAGTTCCCGCACGGAGAAATTTGTTGAATTGAACCTGAGACTTTGACTCGAGATCCCGGTAGAACTGGCGCTCGTCCTCAGAGAAGACAACGTGTTCCAAATTTTCCGTCTTTGGCGGCAGTGTCAGAATGGGCTTGCCGTCAATCATCGAGTCTTTCATTCGCCGCAGCATCATTGCCTTCAACACAGCCTGGAGTTGCCGCATCGCGTTATCGCGCGTAATTTCCGTGACGTTGCTCTTCGCGGTGAGTCCTCTGAAAGTCTGGGAGCATATTAGGGGTCACATCCGGGGGGTCTGGGAATGTGTTGCGGGTATCTCTTACCCTTTGGAAGGTCTTGAAATCACAATACGGCCTAATCCGGAGAAACCGGATGAGAGGGTACAGTTCCGACACGCCGTTCATCATTGGGGTGCCAGTAAGGCACCATCTGTAGGTGGCTTTAATGCTGTGCACGGCTCTGGACCCTTGGGTGTCCTTGTTCTTGATGCATTGAGCCTCGTCTAAAATGATGCGGTAGAAGTGGCTTCGTGGATGAAGCAACGGACATTTTTTGGCGAGCTCCATGTCATCTTTCCTCTCTGTATCGGGCTGACTCATTCCGTTGCTCGACATGGCTGCTGTAACGTTTCCACTCTGCGGCCAGCGACCCGTATGTGGTAAGCACGACGTCGTACCTCTTGAGCTCGGAGTAGGGTCGCTTCTTGGAATGGAGAAGGAAGACGCTCAACTTATGAGCCCCTTTCACTTTCTTCTTCACCTCGAGTTCCCATTGCTTGATGAGAGCGACAGGGCCGATGATCAAGTTGGTCTGCAAACTTTTAGATGGGTCAAGGTCAGGACGTGGTAACGAGAGCCGTATACCTTGATGTTTTCAGAGGAGGGCCGGGAGACCATCAAGGCGAGGGTCGAAATGGTCTTGCCAAGGCCCATGTCATCTGCTAAGATGCCGCCTCTATTCGTTCCCTCTTCCATATCTGTCATCCACTTCAGAGCCAGCTGTTGGTGCGGATAGAGAGGGTATTTCATGGCTTCGGGAGTTTCGCCACGTTCCTCCTCGGGGAGATCCATATCCGGACGGATGTTCGAGAGAAGATTCTGTATGTCTTCCTCGGTTTTCCTAGGGTCGTTCACATAATCGTCGAGGAAATTTGTGAGGCGCTCGTTCAACGGATTTCCGTTCGCATCGGTCATGCTGTCGAAGTTGAAGCCGCCGACACGGCCGATAGTGTCCGCAAGACTAGGACCGCCAAACAAGGACGACCCCGGTGGGGTGTGGTAGGCGCCGTTGCTCAAAAAACCTGGCCGATTAGCATTGAGAGATGGTAGGACCAAGGGGTGCCCGTTGGGGGGACCCTCCGGGAGTCTGCCATTTGTATGTAACAGGCGGCTGATCGGACCGACCGGCGGCCAAGGCGTACCTTCTTGCCGCGCAATCGAGTTTTGCCGGGCCAATTCAATGGCAGGGACACCGAACGACATGGCCTGTGACATCGATGGTAGTGTAGGCAAGCTGCCCGCTGCGTTGTACGGAGAGAAGGGCGAGGGCAGCGAAGGCAGGGATGGCCGAGGAGGAGCGACTAGTGAGTTCCGTGTAAAAGAATCGCTCTCCTCCTCTGAGTCGACGTATGCCCCAGGGACTCGGAATCCATGCTCCGCCGGCTCAGGTTTTACTAGACGCGACCCAGGTTGATGGCTGCCCGAATTCATCGAGGTATGGGGTCTTGCCGCCAGTGATGGGCCCGGCTCCTGTTTGATGCGGTCGGCATGACCCGTTGCCCACGGAGAGGCGTGAGAGGACCTGCCTAGGATGCGGTTAAAAGCATTGTTTTGACCCAAGCGGGATGGAGCTGCGAAGACTGGTCCGTTCGGGGATTGTGAGGGGCGCCCGTCGTATTGCCTCGCCAATGCAGCATCTCTGTCCTCCTCTGCCTTCCTTCGACCCAAACGTTCTTCTGCCTCTTTTTGTCGCTGTATCGTCGATCGCCATATGCTGTCATCGTCGCTAGGTCAAGGAGTTAGCACTTGAGTAAAGGTTATAACCCGAGCGCCGGAGCTTCCCGAGCCATTCGCCGAGACATTTCTGGTGGAAGACGGAGTTAACTCACCCGGTCAGGTCAATAACCTGAGACGAGTCGTCTTCGGCAAATGCTCCAAAGTCAGAACTGAAGGCTCTAGGGCCCGGGCTCGGAGTAGTCCGCCGCGATTTGGCGACGCTTCGATTCAATGAACCATCAAGATGTGAGCTTCCGAAAGAACGCTTTCGCGTTGGGATGCCCGAGCCTGACCCAGAACCCTCCCCCAAGTCTGAGGGTATCGATAGCGTATTGCTAGAAGGTGTTGACGCACCCTGGCTGCGGTGTTGATCTATTTGGTGTCAGTCCCGATGGCGGTGTTGGTCAAGAGAAGTGTAAGGGTTGTATTGATCGTACTGTTGTCGTCACCCATCCTCGCACGTGTCAAATGGCCTACGGAGTCGGCGGATTAGCAAAAGTACCTAGCGACTAGCAACCGATAATCTGGCGAGATGGTACCTTCGCCCTTAGCTTCAGCGAGCTGGCGTGCGATATTCGCAATCTTGGTCCTGACAGCCACGATCTCCTTCTTGACGTCACTCGATTCGGGGAGATCAAAAAGAGAGGCCAGCACAGCCTGTTGAATGCTTAACTCGTCCGAAAGGCCCTCGATGATAGCAGCGGGATCTTCGAGCGGACCGTCGGCGGAAGACAGGCCAGCCGAGGCTGAATAACTGTTTCTTGCGGAAGCCATGACCTTATTTTCATACTAGTGCCCCGAGTTGTACCGGTCGAGCCCGGATAACGGGAAGATGTGGAAGAAGGGCGTGCACCTCTGGTTTGCGGGGGAGAGTGCGACACGATGGGCGGATAATTTGTCGATTATGCGCGTATGATGCGTTTTAGTAGGGAAGGTACGAACGAGGCTTGAACTTGAAATCGAACGCAGCGCGTGCACAGTGCGGCGCGGAGAACGGGCCACTGACTATACGGTAGGTAGAAATGCTCAACAAGGTCATCGCCACGTCGAAAAATTGCATTTATTTTTCCCCTGGCCGGCTTCTGTCGGATAGTATGTGATAGTGGTGCCTATTTGAGGTTGGACGTGGCGGCCTCAGCTCAATCTTGTGTTGACAAAGGGGAAGATTGACAAGGAAGAAATCAGGGCGAAGGAGCCCCGCCAACATGGAATCGTTGATCGACAGTGCAGAAAGTTTTGCCCCGGGCCGAAATTCACAATTGAAATGGAAGTTGGGGCCAAAGACAAGAAGGCCCAGACTTTAAGGTGCACAGTACGGAAAAGAAATAGGGACTGTCATCCCCCGTGTTCCCGAACTTTTGGTTCGGCCTGGGAGTTCGGCATCACTTTCTGTCGAGCCGCTGGGATCACTAATGACGCGGTCTTCCGCCACCAAGCACTGTCTGGGATGCGCGCTGAACGAGCAGCCAGGGGCGCGTCGGCCTCTAAGGGCTCCACTTACAGGGTAAGGTACCTGAGATGTGGGGTGACTTTGAGCCCCCACAAGATTCAACCCCGGCCGCGTGAGCCTCATTGACAAAAGACCGAACTCCAGGTGAAGGTGCCGACCTAACCTTCGATTACAGTAACGCGACGAAAGCCATTCGGAAACCTAGAGCATATTGGTTGACTCCATTCCCCTTTGTTTTACTCACTTTTTTTCTCTCCTATTTTCATGCCAAGTTTTCACTTTTTTCTCGTTTATTGACTTGCTCTGCTTTCCGCTTGGCTTTTTTTCGGCAGAGGGTGACCCTGCAGGGGGCTGGAAGCAACAGGGCTGAGGTTCCATCGGTGGTCTGAAAAGGGGCCTCATGAGAGGCAGTTCACAGATCCAACTGAAGAGATGCTCGAAAGTGCAAAGTGGCTGTTCAGCAAGGGTAGGGGCTGCGAGGGGGGAAGGGGGTACAGACAATCGACCAGCTATTATTTTCAGTTTCCCATTACTTTGTTACAAAGAATTGGAATGGGGAGACCAAGTGGGTGACAATGATAGATCTAGTTCCCATCCCGTCGCTCTTATTCAAACGCTCAATGCCCAAAGAGCAACCCGAAGCCCCCGCCAACCATGCCTGCCATTAACTACCCAACGCCACGTAACACCAAAACAATGAGTGGTTTCAGCCAACACAAGTATGCAGCCGACGGCTGGGACTCATGCATGCAAGAAGGAAGAAGAAGAAAAAAGCAAAGCAAGACTCCAAGCCGTATAATCGGCTACCCCGAGGAACTGCCCTCGTTACCGCTGTCCCCGTCTCCTTTCCCATGACCAGTAACTTTACCCCACCAATGGCCCACCTTTCCGGTGAACCAGTCCCAAAAGTCCTTGACTGAAGACTCAACCTTGTCTGTAATATCATTCTCATCGCTATCACTGTCGCTGTCACTGTCATCGCTCGAGGGCGGTTGAGAAGGTTGGTGTGGTGTTGGTTGGTCAACTGCGACGGTGCTTGTTGGCGCAATCGACACAACATTGCTTGTTGGAACAGGGTTAACCAACACGGGCTTTGTTGGTCGCGGTACTGGCGAGGTTGAGGTCGAGGTTGAGAGAGTGTGAGGTTCCGCTGGATCGGCCGGTGTCTCGAGGCCGTTTGAGGCTGAGTCGTTGTGCAACCCCACTGGCTTGAGAGGCAATCGGAGTGTCCCGTTGTTCGGGACTGGCGTGATCCCGACAGAATCACACAACATGTTGTAGATCTCGATGTTTTCTAGCCTAGTTAGCGTGGAGAACTTTCGGAGGGACGACGAGGCTTACGAAAGGGTTCGACTCGGCTGTTGGGCTCGTGGGGGAAAGCCGGGCCCCGGGCAATAAAAATTGCCCTCATCAAGGGATGTTCATGGTCATAACCATGCAGGCCTCTAGGATGGTACACCACACCCTTAGCCTGCGCTTCCTTCAAGTTCATCTCGTCCATCTTGACGAGCGCCCAGCCTGCCTTGGGCACAATCCACAATGGCGCAATGCGCTCATTGTTGGAGAAGTGATACCGTTCTGGCATATCGACATCACGGAGGTAGACTTCGAGATTGGGATTCCCCTTGGTCTTTTCAAGCACCTCTCGGTGAATGTCCTGAAGGTCACCTGGGTTTTTAGGTCGCAAACCGATGAGCGGCCAGCCGTCCGTGTGTTCGATCTTGCTGGTGTCCACAATGTCTTCGAGCTGCACCAGCCGGGTAACGTCGGTAGTCGCCATACCGTGGTCAGAAACAACGATGATGTTGACGATATCCGTCAAATTCCGATCCTCTAGACCCTTGAACATGCTGTCAAGCATTTTGTCCACCTTTTGAATCGTGAACTGGATCTCAGTGCTGTTCGGGCCGTATTTGTGTCCGTCAGCATCAACATTCGGGACATACGCCGCGATAATCTGGGGACGGTCGGCGTCGGGCATGTCCAGAAGTTCTAGAACTCTATCCACCTTCCGCGAGAGCATCTCCTTCCCGTTGAACCTGTCCACGTACGTGGGCTCGACATTGAGAATGTGCGCCTCACTCCCTGGCCACATGTGAATGCCCGTCTTGAGGCCCTGCTTTTGCGCAGTCACCCAGAACGGCTCGCCGCCCCACCACTTCGGGTCCATGCTTCGCGAAGGCTTGGTGTAGAAGAACTCTTCCTTCAATGTTGGATCCCAAAAACTATTGCCAACAACGCCATGGGCCTCGGGGTAGAGCCCTGTGGCGATCGTGTAGTGGTTGGGAAACGTGACACTCGGAAACGAAGGCAGCATGTACAGCGGCGATACACCCTCCTTGACGAGGGCGTTGAGCCTCGGCGTTAGCCCCCGGTTGAGGAAGTCAGCCCGGAAGCCGTCCAGACTGATGATGAGGGTAGTGGGCGCAAACAGGGCGGTGCCGTTGCTGACCATTTTCGGGCCGTTCCCCGTGCTCTTCCGCTCCAGCGACAGCTTCCACGCCACTAGTACAAGAATCGCAAAAGCAACCCCGATGATCGCATAGAGCAACGCCCATCGGCGGCAGTTGCGTTTTCGTTTCGTCTCGGTGTCGGTAACGTGCAGCAAGCGTTTCCTGTCGACCTCGTCGCTGTCGTCGCGGTCGCTGCTCTCGCCTGTCGAGCTCCCGTCTTTCATACCGCCCTCTTCCATCTCATACATCAGCTCGCCATCCTCACCATGTTGCGCGTCAGAGAGAAGCCTGTCCCGCTTCATCTTTCTCCTCTGACGTCTCGCCCTCCTTTTCTCCGTCCCGAGGTCCTCGACCGACTCGCCCGAATCACCCGGCTGCAGGGACGGGCTCCTTGACGGTGACGGCGACGCATCGCTCAACCTCCTGGTCAGCAGCTTAAGCGGGTTTGGTATGGGCAGGCCGGATCCCCTCCGATTTCCCTTCTGCTTCCTCCGGTTCTCGATTACCAGATGATCCAGCTCTTCCTCCTCCATCAGCACCAACCTATCATGCGCGCGCAGCTCGCGGCTGTTCCTCGCGCGCAACTGGCGCTCGTCATCGTCGCTGTCGGTGTCCTGGTCGCTTCGGATCGAGACAGCGTCGGCGTCGTAATCGGAGGGCGACAGGAGGGAAGGGTCGCGGCCGCCGACGGCGGTCGTCTTTAGCGGCTGGAGGGGCATTCTGGGCAGGTTTGCGGCGTTTCCATTTGACTGATTCCTCGGTACCGCTCTTGAGGGCGTCGATGGTCAGCCGGCCATGGCAAGGGGCACTACTAACAGAAAGAAATGGAAAGGGAAATGAGTTTTCGCTGTTTGATGCGAAGTTGAGATGATAAACACCCCTGGTTTAGGCAAGGATGGTCACAAGTTGATTGGCGAAGACTCAATTGGCCCCATCTTGCGTCGCAGGGATGCCCCAAATAACTCAGCAGGGGATCGCACGTTTTCACTCCGCTCATGCCGCGGATCCGCTCGCTTGACACCTCCCCCATCAATTGAGGGAGAGAGGAAGTGACCTTCGATGCAATATTCTTGGGCTTTTTGATTCATAGAATGTTTGAGACATTCCGTTTTATTGTAAAGGCCTCAGACCTCGATTCGTAGAATCTTGACTGTCTGCCTATTCCGGGACCAGCCGAATCTCACCGAATATTGCCTCTTCCAAACCACCGAAACGGCCATGACGCCTGTGCCCCATCCATGGATTCCATCCACCACGTAACCATGGCTACCTCGGTTGGACTCAACCCAACGAACCATATCCCCCAGCCGCTTAAACGTCTACTCCCTGCCCCCCCAAAATAAACGCTTAACACCAACAATACCCCATTATGCTCCTCCCACGCGACCCCGCCCCCCGGACGGGGCCCATTCCACCTCAGGCTGGGCACCCAGCCCTCGACGCGGTCCTCGAACACGACCTTGACGCCCTCGGGCTGCGCATTACCCACGCTCTTACAGGCTATGCGGACGGCCTCGACCGGGTTCCACAGCACGACGCGGGCGAACCCCCACCGGCGCGCCTCGACGACCGCCGCGGCCAGCAACGCCGCAAACGCCTCCTCCACTCCTCTGGAGGTGCCGCCGCCGCCGTCGCCGTCGTGCACGACGCGCAGCACGCGCAGCCGCTTCTTGCGCCAGTCGTGCGCCCAGTGCGCCCAGGCGGATTTGTCCGCCGTGATGGCGCCGATGATGGGCGAGGGGGTGGCCGTGGCCGTGGTGCCGATGCCCGGGAAGAGCCGGCTCGCGTCGAACGCTGCGCGCGCGAGGTGCCAGGAGATTTGGCCGTGCGTAGGCAGAAAGGCAAAGCGGGTTTTGGGGTCGTCTGCCGGGATCGCTTTGAAGGTCCTGGTGAGCTGGGCTTGATCCCGCTCGCAGAGGTTGGGGAGGTGGGACGCCTGGAGGGGGGGTGGTTTGCGGGGTGGCGGGAGACCCGTGGGTTAGGGCTTGTGTCGAGGTTGAGGGAGAGAGTGGGAGAAGAGTGAGCGTTGCCTGGTGGCTGCCGAAAGGCGCCCAGCCGAGCCCGGCGTAGTAGCTCCGCCCGCTGTCGCTATACAGTACACTAAAGTCGCTATTGGTGTCGATCTGCTCCTGCACCCGGCGGAGGAGGAAGGCGGCCATCCCTTGTCGGCGATAAGACGGGTTGGTGTACACGTTGGCGATGGCATACCCATAGCCTTCACGGGTAGGACTCCCCTTGCCATCCGAGATGAGCATCCGCTTGCGCGTAATTTCACAGCTAGCGATGACTTGGCGCGGGTATCCCTTAAGGTAGAGCACCCAGTACTGGCACCCACCATCCCGGTTGAGCTCATGGTCCGCCATGTGTTGCTCCCGCTGGACATAGTCGTCAATGGACATGGGAGACGCCCAAATTTGGCCACACAGCCTCCAGGAGAGCTGCCGTTGCTCTGCTGTGGCCTCGCTGAACTCCATATCGGCCGCCGTGAGGCCCATAGGTTGAGCCATTGGTGCTGTTTGTAAGCGTTGCGGTTTTGGTCGATATGTGCCTCCTGGTGTCTGTTGGGTGTCAAATAAACTGGTATGTTTGTGGTTGTAAGATGGTTTCCGAGAACTTGAAGTTCTGCCGACCAGGAAAGGCACCGTTGCCGACCCAAATCGGGGGTAGCACAATCCTAAACTGCCCGACTCCGGCGGCCCACCCCGAGACTTGGCATATCAGGGAAGGAAGAGCATTGCTCCCAACTCTCCGTTCTTACTGTCCCACCCACTACCTACCTTATTGAGCTAGAGGAGGGTGAACGCCATCGCTCACCGGCCACAATCCTGGGGCTTATCGACTGTGCGGGGATGGACACATTGCCCATGGATGGGATCACAAATACAAAAACGTGCCTTAACTATAGGCTGCTGCAAGGGACAAGCGACCTGAGCGGGCCCAAGCAGTGCTTTCAAGTGACGTGAACGGGTAGGACATACTTCGTCCCAACCCAAAAAACCGCTGATATCCGAAGCCGTGGCAGAAAAAGATTTGGGCTACTGGGCCGATGAAGATGATTGTGAGGAGAACAGCAGCTGAACACATGCAAGTTGAATCAGCAAGTTTCTGGCAACTGATAACAATGCGGGGGAAATTGAGTTTGCGAGGGTGGAAATGTGGGGGTCCTTGAGAGTCCATCAGCCACATTGCCTAGGCAGGCGGATTCCACAAGTGGCTGTAGCCGCAAGAGGATCGGAACCGGCACTAACTGTTCCGCAATTTTTGTTCGAGCCCTGCCAATTACCAAGACGCGCACAAAAATCGGTCTTGATATCGGCGAACGGCAGCGACACCGATTCTTTGACGGCAACAGAACAGCAGCAAAGGTACGCCGAGCATTTCCTACCTACTCCCTTGTAATTCTAGACTACGATTATCTCTTCCTGCAATTTGCGCATCTTGCACGATTTTATCTTCGCCGCCGCCCCGCTAGATTTCCGTCGCTAACACGACCGACCACATTAGAACGTCGACCAAAATGGCATCGATCGATATCGAAGCGACAAGCTGGCGTCGCGTTGAGGTTGGGCGCGTGCTCAAGCTCGAGAGCGGCAGCCTGGCCACCATCGTCGAGATCATTGACCACAAGCGCGTACGTGGAACCCGAATTCCTACGAAGCCCACCGGGGCAATGGAGGCTTGTATGAATGGGAAATAGACTAAATCGTTGATATGCAGGCTCTCGTCGACGGCCCCTCCACAAACGAGAAGCTCGCGACGCCCCGCGGCATCGTCCAGCTTTCCCGAACCCTCCTCACCCCTATCGTCGTCGAGAAGCTCCCCCGCGGTGCGCGGTCAGCTGCCGTCAAGAAGGCGTGGGAGGCTGCTGGTGTCGACAGCAAGTGGTCCGAGAGCAACTGGGCGAAGAAGCAGCTCCAGCAGGAACGCCGCCAGTCGCTCACCGACTTCGATCGCTTCAAGGTTATGCGGTTGAAGAAGCAGAGGCGCTTCGAGGAGCGCAAGGCTCTCGCCAAGATCAAGGCTGCGGCATAAAGTCGCTTTGCTGCTTTAGAGGGGGAGCGTTTGGTCCGGCATGGCTTTTCGGGGGGGGAGGATGGTATTCTGGAACGGTCTGCATGAACATCAGCATTCGGGTTGCTGGGTTTCTTTTTGCGTCGCTTTCGGAAGACCTGTATGTCACATCATCAACGTGACCGGCGTCATATGGAAAATGCGAAATTGAGCCAAAAAAAAACAACCAAGAAGACTCTACGGGCTGTTGCCCATGCCACAAACACCTCGCCATCGTGCGCAGGTCTGTGAGCCATCAGAATACGAGACTCTGCGGAACGCCGCGGCGGCGAATGTTTCTATTCTATATGCCTAGATTCTCGTGCCTGGTAGCCTCGCTCAGTGACATCTTTGACATGCCTGGGACATGATGTAATGCCCTGAGTTCAAAAAGAGCAGCCTGCTGTGTAAATACTTTGGGAGGAAGCCATAATGATTACCAAATCGGGACTAGCGCCTCCGACCCTCTGCGGTGCCGACAAGCCCTACCTGAAAATTGGACCCGAACATTTCTTTCCCACCACGATCTGCCAGCTCCTTCTAACCCCCGCATACCCATTTTAGCGGCATTTCCGACATCAATGTGAGTCTGATTCAAATATTACCAGCTCTAATGTCTTTACTGGGACCAGGGCCGCACGGCGGCGCCTACCATTGCAGTTTTGGTGGCGGGCGGAAGCAATTGTGTTGTGTGCGAAACGCGGGGAGCTGACAAAGTGCGAATAGCTTTACAAAATGGCTGACCCCCGCATCGAGGAGCTCCCGGATGAGGAGACTAAGAAGCCCACCGTCGAGGAGCTCGATGAGTCCTCCGACGAAGAGTCCGATGCCGAGGCCGGCGATGCTAGCCTCCCCGCCGGCTCGACCGCTGTGATCCACTCCCGCAACGAGAAGAAGGCTCGCAAGGCCATCGAGAAGCTGCACCTCACCCGCGTGCCGGGCATCACCCGCGTTACTCTTCGCCGCCCCAAGAACGTGAGTGCAGCAGAATTATTACAGCCCGGGACCGCTGCTGTGCGGGGCACGGGCCGGTGACGGATTTGGAAGAGACGGGTCGTTCAAGGCGCTGACGGAAATGGGCAGATCCTCTTCGTCATCAACAACCCCGAAGTGTACAAGTCCCCTAACAGCAACACCTACATGTAAGTTTCCAACAGACGTACCCAATGGAACTTGGAGCTGACCCCTGCTTAGCGTCTTCGGCGAGGCCAAGATCGAGGACCTTAACGCCAGCGCCCAGGCTGCTGCCGCCCAGCAGCTCGCCAACCAGACCGCTGAGCACGACCACGCTGGTCACACTCACGACCACAAGCACGAGGCTGCCAAGGAGGAGGAAGAGGAGGAGGACGATGGCGAGGAGGTGGACGCAGAGGGCATCGAGGACAAAGGATATCGAGCTTGTCATGACCCAGGCCAATGTGTCCCGGAAGAAGGCAATCAAGGCGTTGAAAGAAAACGACAATGACATAGTCAACTCAATCATGGCATTGAGTGTCTAGTCTTTGACCGGCGCTGGGGTTGTCGATGGATTTTCGGGTACATTTTCGCGAACAAGAAGCTCTGCTGGCACTCGGTATCGATTTCCGTTGCTAGTCAGTTAGCGGCCGTATTCGAGCTGCTAAAATACAAGCTGTTCCGTCATGTTTCGTGTCTGTGTCTTGGTGTTGCGTGATGCTGGTCCGTTCGGGTTTGGTAATCTAAAAGAGCTGGACCCGCCACCTCTCCATTACTCACCTGGGCCGTTAATTTCAACTTCCTCTCTCTTTTTGATAATTACGGTCGGGATTGAAAGACAGAGACTGGTTGCAATTGATAGGCAGGTAAATATTCAGAGGAACCCTGGAAGGAATCGCGGCACCGCCGGTTCGTTCCGTAAAAAACATCACGTGACTGTACCTCTCGCCGGCAGATGTTGCTTGCATTCGGCAAACTCGAAGCAACGACAGTGATTGAACTCCCACTCCCGCTCACCTCCGAACCACCGCAAAAATGGCCGCAGTAAGTGCCCCGAAGCAATTGGAGTTTTATTACCAGACGGTTATTGGTGTCCAGCTCCATTGGAGGCATCCGCGAGCTGGCGCTGCAGGACCCGAGGAGGTGCGGAACTGAGCTAATTTCGTGTCTCCGTTCGAAAAATTACAGCGAAGCGCAGCTCTCAAGGTCGACTGGGCCAAGATCACAACGTCACTCGGCCTGCGCGGCCAGACGGTGGCCGGCCTCCAGGCCTTCAAGAAGCGCAACGACGACGTCCGCCGCAAGGTGCAGCTCCTCTCGGAGCAGCCGACCACTGTCGACTTCTCGCAATACCGCGCCGTGCTCAAGAACCAGGCCATCGTCGACGAGATCGAGAAGCGGTTTAACGCCTTCCAGCCCGCCACCTACGACCTCTCCCGCCAGCTCAAGGCCATCGACGCCTTCGAGGTCGAGGCCGTCCAGAACGCCCAGGCCACCAAGCAGAAGGTCGACCTCGAGCTCAAGGACCTGGAGAAGACGCTCAAGAACATCGAGGAGGCCCGCCCGTTCGAGGACCTCACCGTCGACGAGGTCGCCGCCGCCGAGCCCAGCATCGACGAGAAGACCTCCAAGCTCGTGTCCAAGGGCCGCTGGTCCGTGCCGGGGTACAAGGTCAGTTTTCTTCGGTCCGTGCGTCGGGTCTACGATACTAATCAAGACAACAGGAGAGATTCGGCGACCTTTCCGTGCTATAAGCAACTCCCTGCCCGATTTCCCTTTTTCTTTGTGTACTCTAGCATTGTAGATAGCCTGAGCGCTGAGGGACGGCCCCTGGCCGCGGGGCAAATTTCACCTTGTTAATCCACCCGTTCTGGTTCTGAAGCTTTCCTCGCCTGATCATTTATTGTGATTTTATTGGCATGTAGGTCCCTACCACCCTGTCACTGCTCTCACGTCTCTCCAGCTGAGGAACACCATTAAGTGCTATTACCGGACCGGCTCCTCCAAGGGCTAGGGTGATTCATTTTGTGATATATATATATACCACGGACGGCTGAGCCTCGGCCGATGCTCATCTGTGGCCATTGTCACTCCCTGTGGATTGTTGTTAGCCGGGTTGGGGGCATGGCAACGTTTCTGTCCCTGTTCGTTACCTCAAAATGCTTACTCTAGATACCCGTAAACCTAACCTGACACAGCTCATACATATCCTGCAAAGCGTGGAGATCTGCGTCTCCCCTCTCGATCTAGTACACACTGCGCTGTCAAAGACGTCCGTTGAATGCTTGTGGCCAAAGGCTCGGAGGCGGGTCTTTTGTGCCATCCGCGCGATAACGCTCGCCCATCACGGAGCCCTCTACGTAGGCTTTCAATTCTCGTTCGGTAGCCTCGTGCTTCTCTGCCACCTCCGGCTTGCGAAGTTGACGAATCCTCCTCTCCGTCCACCCCCAGGGATCGGCCAGTCGGACACGAAACCCAGCGAGGCCATCCTCACCGGCCGCCCAGCATTGCAACGGGCGCACGATACATATATACGAGTCTAGGATCACCACTCCCTGTTCACGCGTCATCTGCTCGCGCTCCGGCGTCGGCTCCCAGTTGTCCACGTCTGCCGCCATGAACCAGACGGTGAGCCCGCGGGCGTTGATCTTGTCCCGGAGCCAGGTCACCGTCGAGCACCACTCCTGCATGGCGGGATCCTCCAGCTGCGGCCAGTGGTCGTGGGGGTAAGGGGGGAAGACGAACTCCAAAACCCGGAGGTGGGCGAGGCAATGAGTCGGGACGACCTCCCTCAGGAACTGGGAGGCAGCGAAGCGTTCAAACGGGTAGCAGCGGGTTGCCGCGACAGCCGGGGCCGACGGCGCCGTGATCCGAGCCGGCGAGCCCGAGTCGACGTCGTGCACGATGAAGCGGTTGCCGGAGAAAAAGACTAACTCGGCGTCCTGGCGTAGGGTGCGGCAAACAAGGAATAGGCTGCTGGGCGGCGACCAACACAGGCACCTCGAGGAAGAGGCCGCGTGACGGAGGCGGCAGAAACAGCCGATTCGGGGCTCGATATCCGGGTTCTCCCAGCATCGGGTGAATTGGCAACCGTGGTGGACCTCTGGGGGGCAATCGAGATAGTCTACACGCTGGCATGGAATGTGGAGGATACTGTACCCCCTGTGGCATCTGCTCCGCATGACTTCCGTCCACGGTGTGATGAGGTCGGTATACTCCAGAATGTGGAGACGAAGTTCGCGGGGGAGGGGTAAAAGGGTCGTCGCTGCTGGGGGTTGTTTTGAGTATGGAGTGCTGACACGGCGCGCTTGCATCACGGTGTCAGATGCCACCTGCTGGAGCCGAGGATCTGGTGAATCGCACAGCCGGACGTGACAGTCTTTCAGTAACGGTAGGACGCTTAGTGGCGCAACCGCCTGGGCAGCCAACTCCACTGCTTGAGGGTGCCGAGGGTCGATGTCGCAGATTAAAGAAAACTCGAGGTTGCCAGAAGAAAGGAGTGATGACATGTAAACCGCGGCCGAGTGCCATTCACTTAACATAGCCTGGGCTGCTGCCACTTTACAATCCTCCTCGTCGGGGGACAAACTGTGCCTGGACAAGCTGAGCAGCGGAGGGCTGTGCTTGTCGGCGTGGCCTTCGGCGCAAAAGAAGGCGCCGGTCCTTGGCCAGGGCTCGTCCTTGTTCCCGTGGCGGCAACAGTTCCCGAGCCCGACACTCTCGGATTCGTGGCACGACGACTGGTTGAGGATGATTCTGAGACTCGCCAGGGACGCTAGGGACGGCGCTGTCAGAGCGTGCAGAGGGGCGAAAGATGCCGACTGGGAATAGTCGAGGACGAAATGGTTGGAGGAATATAGCAACGCAGCGGCTTCGTCGTGTAACATCCGACAAGAAAGTAGCAAACCATGGAACCTGCACGGCCACATCTGCGGTTGGTGGAAGTCAAAGTCTAACGGGAAACCTTCCCATCTCGCGAGGCCGACATGGAAGTAGATGTGTCGTCGGATGTGGGTAGGGAGGCCCAACAGAGTGGGCGGTGAGTGCAGGTGTTGCTCTCTGGATGTTGAGGCCTCGGTTGCAGCGTCACTAACAGGTTTGAAACCGTCCATTACGTCGCCCTCAGACTAAACCGATGAATGTCGTTGTGGTTGGAAGTGCAGACTAAAATACCACGAGATTTTTGGTTTTTTTGGGCAGAGATGATGAAGGATTGTTGAGGTCCAGTGTGACCGGCCAATGGAACCTGAGACAAGGCCCAACAGGACCAACCAGGGAGCGAGAAGGTCCCGAAGTAGGTCCCTACATATCATGTGCTCGTCAGTTCCACGCCATACCGTCACGCCTAAGAGCTCCCGTCACTGCCATCCACGATACCCTCATTTCCCATAAGATATTTCATAACATAAGAGTGAGATCTCCGGAAGCCACACTAACCCTAATAACTGTCAAGTATCGACCCAACAACAGCCTCGTACCAACCAGGACCACGACTGTGGTTTCATGTTTTAGAGCATGCCCGTAGGCGCCTACCCATGCTTGCGGCCATGTAGGCAGAGGTAACATAGTCTTGTGGGGTCCAGGCCAGGAGGACAGAACAGGGATGGCCTACGGATGAATGTATCAAACTACAACAAGAACCGTAGTCAATACCAGTCAAACCTTTCCGTTCCTTTCACTATGCACCGCTGCCCCTTAGTCAGTTTGGTAGCCCTGACCCTTAGTTCCATAAGAATCATAGGGGCAAACAATTCGCCAGCGGGACGGATGAGATACACCTCTTCCTCACGGGAAGGTTGGAAGAACCTCCTCGCCTTCGGTGAGAACTTTTACAAACTGATTGCTACTTCCCGGAGGAAGGGAAAGCCGCAAGGGCTGAAAGAAACTGTCTATCTACCACGCTAAATTATCCTCACGGGAAAGAGTGTTTCCTTTTCCAATCCACCATCTCCCTGGGCCGGCCTTCCCGTGCCCTGGCCTCGGCCCCGGTCCTAGCCCCGGTATCCAAGCAATTGGAGGCATAGGGAGCCAGCCATCAAAGCTGTCCATAGCCAGAGACCCCCAGGAGAATTGGTCGGCTGGCTAGGGAGGAAAGACGCTAATAAAGGGTTGCCTTGGGGACAAGGAGAGGGGGTGGGAAAACGGTGTTTCGTGACGGGAAGATGGAAAGGTATGAAGCTGGCATACATAAGTACGGGGCAACTTTTCCGTGGACAGTCGAGTGCTGGTAGACCATATACCTCTTCGCCCTTTTGCTTCTGACCGGCCGATACCTGTCATTCGTGTGCTGGCGTTCTGGATTGAATGTGGCAAACTCGGGTAAGCCTTTGAGTTCAATATATCATCCGCGCCGATTTATCTGTAAAGTCGATTTTATAACAGGCAAGCACAGCCTTTTTGGAGTTGCTTGCTAAAAACAATCAGAGCTATCAAGTTCACTTGCTTGTTTGTTTACTTTTGCTGCCCGTGATTCAGGGGTACCCTAAACCTGTATCATTCTGAGCAGGGCTGGCACTTACACACGGGTTTCAAGGAGGTAATGACGGATATTTCTGCTACGACAAGGCACATTGTATCGGATTAGCAATGCGTTTGCGCAAAAGGAGGGCGAGGAGGCATTGCGGGGGTTAGGGGTTCTGGTGGACATCACCACTCCCATCTGCTTTCCTCTCACAGCCCTCGCCACTCTTTAAAAAGACCTGCCGCTGGTGGCCGTATTTATTATTGTACCGCACTGGAAACTCGGTTTCTGGGATCAGCTACGTCATGCCATTGCTTCGTCTAAGTAGAAGCGAACGATGTTCGTATAAAAGCCGATCCAGCGGGAAGCCTGTGATAATAAAAGTAGTGTGGTAGTAGAGATGGAACACAACGGCAATGGAAGGGAAACACCACGACCTCCTGGTCATCTCTACCTCACCAAAGGCTACGAGGTAGGTAAGCTACGTATCTGCCTGCCCATGAGCTGTGTTGTTCCTCAAAAGCTCAAAAGAACCCTAACCCTACCAGTTATCGACTTTGCCTCGCCCCACCCAAAGCTTGAACAAACGACGCAATTGATTAATTGACGGAAGTCAGTCAATCCCAAGCTCCAATTCCAAACTTTCCCCTCCAAGGCCGGGGAAAGTCAACCCGCAACCCGCGCCGTCCACATCACCACACCGCACCACCCTCCCCAAACTAGCACGACCGAACAAACGAGCCCGTCCGAACCAACCTCACCCAACCCCCAAAAAGAGAAACCCAAAATGGGCGTCTTCCCCAACCGCAAATACCGGCCCGCCGGCAGCGAGGCAGCCAACAGCTTCGGGGCGCGGTACCGGGCACAGATGGCGCGGCGGCCGTTCCTGCTGTTTGGCTTGCCCTTCCTGAGCGTCATCGTGGGCGCGTCCTTTGTGCTGACGCCGGCGACGGCGATCCGCTACGAGCGCCACGACCGCCGCGTGCGCACGCTCACGCGGGACGAGGAGCTCGGCGTGGGGAGGGCGGGGACGGGGAGGAAGGTGGATATTAGGGAGGAGTATTACGTACGTTTTTTTCTTCTGTTTTTTAACTCTTTTTTCTCTTCGTTCGTTGTTTGTGTTGTGTCGGTGCCCTTTTTTTTGGGGGGGGGGGTGGTTGCTAGGGAGTGAGAGGTCGCTGGGGAGTGAGGGAGTGATGGCTAATGTGCTTGTTTGTGTAGAGACTGTCTGCCAAGGATAACGACAACTGGGAACAGAAGCGGGTGAAGCGGCTGAAGGGGGAGAGCGATGGTATCCTATGAGAAGGACCATACCTACGACCAAGCCCCGCGCGATAAGAGGAAGTACACGACGGTGTGGTGGCTCTGGGATGCGTGCTGCCGATTCGCGCCACTCGCGGGGAAAAGGCTTCTTTAGATCGGATTTGCTTATCGCGTCCTGATCGCGAGTTCAGCACTAATATAGTTCAGAAGTTCCTCTGCAGGGATTCTGCGCCGGACCGTGGGCGCAAACTGCAGCTCGAGTCCTGCATGGGGAGGGATCACATATCGATCGGGCAATATTACCCCTCATGCCGGATTTAGCTAGAGTTCGCCGCCACATACCGTTCTCTCACACCCGCTCGTTCTTCGGCCATACGCAGCACTCCGGGGCGATGCATAAGCCCTTCGGCCAGAGCCTTCGGGGCTAGGGGAGGGTACGCTTCTTCAGGATGTCGGCTTGTGTTACAGAAACAAAACGCCGAGAACTCGGGGATTTGGCCGGCTTATTGCTTTCAATATTGAGTGTTAAGCAAAACGACCTCATTACATCCGGAGTTTGCATTCAGCTGAGTCTAAAGACTGGCTGCAGTATCGGGGTATCTGAGACGGGCAGATCTGCCACGGCAACACGGGTACCTGCGCAACGGGAACAATGGGTCGGTAATGGCGGCTGCTGGGAGCCGCGGCGGGAACTCGAGTCTCGGGACAACAAGACCAGGAAAAGAAAGGATACAAAGATGCGTGCTGGTGCTTCTGCTGGCTAAGGAATGCGGCCGTTCGGGTGGTCCAGAAACGTCAAACTGTTGTGGCCACTTTCCTTTCAGTGCCTTGTTTGTATGTTTGCTACTTGTGGTTGCATCATCGAGGAATTCTCATTGGAGCGCTCAGGGTTCCTTCATGTTTCAGGATCGTGCGGCGGTGCCTGACGGTGCGTCATGGCAAGGCTTATCTCCCTAGTGCCAGATGGGAGAGTCGAATAGTAATCGGGGTTTGGCTAGATTCCGGACCTGTTCGGCATGAATGAACTGTCATCGGTGGCAAATAGGTGTAGCGGCGCCACAATTGCTCAACGGTCATGCCAGACCACCCGATTCAGTCTCCAGATGCGATTCAGCTACGATTCAGACTGGTGCTCGTCCGCCCCCGACAATGACTGACGACAACGCCGAGAAACTCTGACGCCCCAGGATCATGCGATCTGACAAGGACCTACTGACTAACCAAACCAGAATTCATGCTGAGAGATGGGACTGACGAGGAACCCTTGGAGGTGAGAATTCGAGACCGCGCGCCCGGGCTCCCAATGTGTCCCGGGTCGAAAGTGCCCATCGGAAACCACCGATGGCAAAGACGAGATGACACGGCGATTTCTCGATGTTCGGACGCTGGAGTTTTATCTCCGCCAGGTCATGGCTCTACACGACACCTGCCCAGCCGGGGATTTTGACGATGGCCCATGCCCTGTTTCTTGTTTGCCGTCTTGGCCTTGTGGTGTTTCGAATGTAACCACAAGTCGGTGCCAAGTTCAAACTCGGTGCCAAGCAGCGGGAAAGCGGCTCCTATTCGAGGGTTTCCGCACAGGCATCCGACAAGCGATCGGCGGATCAACCGCACTGCTGGAACAAGTCGTGCATTTGGTGGTTGATACTCAATTTAGAACCTGCCAATCACGATTGTAGGAGGCTTTCCTCTTCAAAGAAAAACCTCGAGGGGGCTTTCAGGTCCCATGAGCAGATGCCACGCGGTCGTGAAATGAGCTCCTCTTTGCCACACCCCTGGGCGCAGCAGGAATCCTGGGGATCGGTCGGCAGGCGGTGAGGGGACGACAACTTGACCGAACTGTTCGAGCGTGCTTTACGATCGCTGGGGTTGCTTATCGTAACTAGTGTCTCCTGCTCCGCTGCGCCCTGTTTGCGATCTACTCTAACCGTTGAGCGAGGCCAGCCCATCGAGGGATGTGTAGTTGGAGAGTGGATTTTCCCCAGGTTTTGCCCAGTTGTTGCCCGTTCACAACTGGTCGAGATGGCCGCGGGCCCAGGTCGGAGTCTATGCGCCGGGAAGGCAAGAGGGGGCAAACCCACTGATGCGCAGGCTGGGAACAGATGCTCCAGGGCTGGTTCTGGGCTGGGCACTGCGGGACGTGCGCGGGGTGCACAGATCAGCAGCCCCGCTTGCTAAACGCCCCACCTCCATCCAGCTGCCCAGACTTTTTCGGTGTCTGGGCGGTGGGGTTTGAAGGATGTTTCTGCTGTTTTCTGCAGTTTTCATGACGTCGACGTGGTCGATTTCTGCGCGCCGCCTCTGCGGATCGATGTGATGGGAGCGGCGCTGGTTTACCCCTTTTGAACTCGATGACGGGTTTCAGGAGCAGGAACGTGGCTCTTTGTGTGTCAGAAACAACAATTCGTGTGGCTGTCTTGTTGGCGCAAGAGCGATTGTTTTTCCTGCGGCCGTGGTTGCAGTTACGGTTACGGCTGCTGATGTGCTGATGAAGCTTTGTCTGCCATGGGAACACGATACCAACTCCGATCTCTGAGTAAATTACTACGCATACGCCTTCGGGTCCTGACTCTGGGCCGGTCCTCAGTCTCGTAACTTTCATGCAGCATGGCTGAGAGGGTGTGCAGCTAAAACACAGGTCACACCCCCGATCTTGCCATTTTTGGCCTGCCACACACCAATATTCACCCGATCCCGTTCGATTCTCTCTCTTCCCCATTTCAATTTTCAATCCCTGGTCCCTGGACGCCTGGAACCCTGCAAGGTACCACATTTCCGTCATATCTGACGATCGGCCCCATCGGCCCAGAACTTTGTCATCAGGCACAAAGGCTCCGGGACATGCGGAAACCTGCAGGACCTGCTTTTGCTTACTTCGTATAATACCCTCCCGACCCCTTCCGGCTTTGGACTTGCCCAGCCCTTAGTTCTTCACATCACCAACAGAGCCATGAAGCATATCTGGTCCAACTGCAACCGACAACAGTCGACTACCAACTACACCCAATAGCATTCCCTGGACGACCAAACAACTTTTAAAAATCTACACATCCTCGCGTGATGTTGTGCGACATCCAACCCAGCCCAACCCACCATCGTCACCACAGCATCCTCCGCAGCTTCCGGAGTCATAAGAACCTCAGAAGCCGCAAGGGCAGCGCGGCAGACTCTCTCAGCAGCCAAGAAGACATGCACCACCACCACAGGCACGTCCCGAGCGACGCTAGCTCGCAGGGTCGGCCCTCGCTCGACTCAACGAGCTCCCGCAGGACCGACCTCTCTATCGACTGGGACCCCCTCCGGCTGCACCCCTCTCTTACATCGGGCCCGTCTCCACCGCTCCAAGATGCTTTCAGCGAGAGCACCTCTAGGCCGTACCAGCCGCATGAGCTACGACACGCCCGTTCCAGCCAGGCCCACCGTCGGCCATCAACCTCCCACTATCAACCTTCCCAAAGCACCGTTATCTACGGCGGTTTCGATTTTGGTTTCAACAATGACCCAACCCCGGTCATGAGCAAAGCCACCGCCTTTGCCGCTGCCGCCAACAACAACAGGAGGCGAGCCCCCTCCCCAACGCCCAGCGACGCCAGCAGCGACAGCAGCTTCAGCATGAGCGAGCCTTCGGACGAGGAGGTGGGTCTCGGCCTAGGCCTAGCTCCCGCGCCCGCACTCAGGTCGCGGCCCCGACCCCGGCCGAGCCATGATGACGGCGCCGACGCGGCCGAGTCTTTCATCCGGCGCGGCGAGTGGAAGCGCCGGGGTATCGTCTTTGTCAACTCAGGCTTCGAGCTGGCCGGAGAGGACGAGACTTTTGAGATCTGAGATTTGATCTCGCCATTCTACTCTTCTGCCATGTTTTTTTTTACCCTCTATCTTGTTTAATGGGTTGGCGGTGGTGAGCGTTGCATTGCATTGGCTGGCACAGCCGGTATTGGGATTTCCTTTTGAGATACCTCTTGGGTTTACTGGGAGGCCGGACGGATCCCGCACTATGGATGAATTGGATGGATATCGGACCTGGAACCTGGGACCTGGACACGGACACGGACACGGACGGTGTACGCATTCCCTATGTTTTTGGCATTTGCCGGAGTCACGGAGGGAGCATACACTACGATACCACTATTTCTTTGTCTTATCTTCGCATGTTACGTAGCTAGGAGTCGGGTCGCCTGCAGCGCTGGCGAAACACGCAAGAGTGAAAGCACTCGAAACAAATCTGATCTCAAAACTTGAAGTGTCAACCTTCATCCGAACGTTCCTTCCCATCCTTCCAATCATCTTGTGACCCTTCGCCCCCGGGGACCAAATCCTCCGGGTGTTCGCCTGACCTCTTACGGTCCGATGACTTTTTTACACTGCCCAATCCAGGTTCAGCTATGCTCTCATCCGATGTTTTCGCAACCTTCCACCCTTGCACAGTAGACCCTGCGGTATTTGCCGCTGCACAATGGTTTTCGGGAATCTGGTGATCCTTGGCGCTGCCTGCTTGTAAGTCTCAGTCGGGTTTAGCCTCCTTGCTCCCTTGCCCTTGCCAATGTAACCTTTCCACGCTGCTTCCCCTTCCATTTCCCTTTCCCACCCGGGACTTTGGACCTTTCCAGCTTTCCAAGCTGCCACCCCCGCCTTTTCTGCGCATCCCCTGCGGCCCTTGCAGCCCTTGCAGCCCTTCTTCAACGTGCTCAGCTCGTCACGTCGCATTAGCCATGAAGGCTGGTTGCAATTGACGGTCACGCGTGGCAACGCAGAAATTGCAAGCCAGCGCCCGTTCTGCCGCTGATGAATCATGCCTTGTTTTCTGCTATTGAGGGTGTCCGGCACTCCGGGTTTTTCGCAATACGATTCGGGGCTGTGAGGTCCTTCCTTGGCCTTCATCACCAAATATTGCTCCGCTGACACACAAACCATCCCATCCCATCACCGTTGGGGTGACTCGGCATCCAGCTCGAGAGCGGTGAGCCCAACAAAGGTTCGCGGTGTGCACCATGTCTCACCCATCACGCTCAGGTCAGAGAAGTCAGCGGGTTCCTTCATTTCCCATTTTCCCGTTCTCGTGCCCCAAGCCGGGCAAACTTGTAGCCTTGGTTCTCACATCCGCCACTGCCGCCCCGGCTCCCCACATTCGGGTCAGGCACAGTGACCAAATGGGTCGCCCGGTTGCCCGGTTGCCTGGGCTTGGGTCGCTGGGTTTGCTGGTGACCAATGTCTGCAACGCCTCCCCCGCCCCCGCAGCCTTCCTACCCCGGCACATTGACCTCCCGCGAGAGCGAGATGATGACGAGCAGCGAAAAAGCCACCAAGGCCCGGCCAAGCTTAGCGGCCAGCCAGACAGGGCACAGCGACAACCGAGAGTGTCCCGTCGTGAGCCGAAACACGGTGTTTCTTATTTTCGGCTTGGGCAACAGCGAACTAGTTAACTGGGTCCGGGGTCAAGTGACTGCCTCACCGCAAATATTGACCCCATCCAAAAAGACTAACTAGACCTGTTCCTGTCTTGCCGCGCAGAATACCCCTCTCAGGTCTTCAGTCTAAGCATGCAGGTACGCGGGCTACTGCAAGCCAAAAAACTGCACGACGTACCGGATTGGGAGCGACGCGACCCCGCCGGAGACCAAACCGGAAGGACGAAAAGGGGAAATCTCCGATTGTTTCTACACCACTAACTCATCAAAAATAGCTTGGAAGTGCAGGAAAGGGAATCATTTAACTAGTTTAGTACGCCCCGGGCCTTGCTGTCCACGCTGGTGCCGCTACATTGATAACCGGCTGCCGACCCGTCAGCACTGGCGTCCCGGCCTTTAGCTCGAGCGAGGAGAGACGGGCTCCACCGGGCTGGGTTGCCCAAATGGCGATGGCGATCGTGTTGGTCCCGTGGTAGTTGAGGATACCCTCAGGCACGGGAAAGGATGTCTGCGGGCCGATGTGGCTGATGTAGCGGCCGAATTCTATCGGCAGGTGTTTGTCAGTATTGGGATATGTCCGACGGGTCAGGTGGTACGGCGGCGGATTAGGTGAGATGAGGTCTGTTGAAGGAGGTAGGTTCCCGCGCATATGCGATGCATGTCTCGGCGGTACGGGGAATTCAGTTATGATATCTCCTTGAGACAAAAAGCATCGACCATTCAAGGAAGGACGGGGTGTGTGAGAGAGTGTGTGAGAGAGTGTGTGAGCGAGAGAGAGAGAGAGGACTTACGGAACCCATTCACCCACAAACATCGCCCGGTACTTCCCTGATCCACCGCCCGGCATCAATCGCGGGAAATTCAAAACTCAACGGCACATCCCCAAGTCTCCCCCGGAATATCCAGCGTCATCTCAGCCCTCCAGAACCCCACCCCGGGCTCATCAATCCCATCCAGCGGACTCCTCCCCTCCACAAACCCCCCCTCCCCCTCCGGCACCCCAGGCTGGTGATAGCCCATCCGCTCCGCACACAACCCGCCCTCATTCACCGGCCCCTCACCTTATCACATAATCCTCCCGACCCAAATGTGGGTATGGGAAGAACCTGGAG